AGGCAGTTGCAACGCTGTAAAAGTCTTGGGGCCTGGCCAAAGTCCTGAAGTGGCTGATCATCAGGTTGCTCAGGCTGCCAGGACGGTTGTCCACCTTGCAAATGTCTTGTTTCTGCTGCCGTTGGGTCTTCTGCGGAGCGTTGTCGATTGAAGGTTGTGCCATGTTGCCCCTTGTGAACTGAAACGCGCGGTGGTAGAAAAGGTCCTGCAACTGCTTGATTGAGAGCTCCTTTGCTGGCACAGCTTGCGGGCCAGCAACCATTGATGCCACTTCAGCGCTCAAGCTCGCCAACTGGGTCAGATGGCTGTTGCGGGCCGCGAAAGAGGCAAGCTCATGAGCATTATGTAGTAAGTCTTCATGCGAGCGAAGCCGGATTTCAGTCGACACATATGCTGGTGTGGCGCCCGGGGCATCGTCCAGCACATCCCGAACTTGCTTGTGAAGACCCTCGCAGACCGAATTGCAAGGCTAATCTGCAGAACCCGAAACACACAGAACACTTTTATATAAGCAATCCCCAAACAATCCAGAACAGAGTTTCATGAAGACACTGCCCATGCGTAGCATGTTACCCGTGTAGGATGTTTCCCAAGGAGTCAAACTTTGGACGCTGACGTGCCTCCGTCTGTCGCTCAACGCATCTCAGAAGGCGAAGAGCGCCCAGCCAGGTGCACAGTTCGGGGTGATTGGCGCGCGAGTCTCCAGCTGCAAACTGCACCAGCGCTGTTCGAAGAGGCCCTTCCTCGGCAGCGGCAGCGGCATGCAAGCCAACTGTGATTACCAACGTGCTACACCCATTGCAACTTCCAAACAAACACAGCTTCTGGCTCCTGCTGAAACATTCACTCTCATGTTGTTGCCGACACCGCGACACATCGCCCTATATAGTGGCTGTTCAAGCTGTCGCGTATTGGCGCCCAGGCGCAGTGTCAAGAAACCGGCGGGTCAAGCCATGCGCCACCCCCACGCCAGATTCAATGATCTTGGCCTTTTCTTCTGGCGAAGTTAGTTCCCACATGCGCAAGCACTTGCACGCAGCCATCCTGGCCTTGATCTCATCATCTGACGCAATCGCTGCAAGATGCCATGGCAAAATCTGCCAGTGGGCTGTTTTGAGAGTCGCCTCTGTCAGGATGAGGTCATGAGCCACTACAAGCTCAGAGCTCAAATCTGCTATCTGCTCGTCCGAAAGACCTGCAGCAGCGGCCAGAAATGCGACACGCGTCTTTTGCAGAGACTCTGACAGGAAGGTCATGAAGGTGCCATCTGCAATCTCGTGGCATCGGCGCCCACGAAGTGGGCACTTCACATCCCAACCGTGGCAAGAACATGCCTCTGTCCAGCGCGAAATTTCGTCGAGCTGGCCATTGACCAGGTAGAGGAAGCGGGTGTAGCTCCAAAACCAAGCGCTCTTGACAGCCTGATCAGACTCCTGAAACACATTCGCATCCGGCACTTTCTGTCTTTTGTCTGACTCTTCTTCAGCACGGTCAGAGGCATCGTTTTGCAGCGCCCGCAGGGACCAGCAAGATCGAAGCGCTCGCTCTCTTGCAAGGAGGCTCTTGCACACGTCGATCAAAGATGACCAACGCCAGTGGATGAGCTGGCCAGCTGGCCACTTGGACATCAAGTCTTTGAAGTCAGTCTGCTCGAACAGGGAGTGCACCACACGCTCGCGGTAGAACCGCAGGTACAGGATGTTGCTGAGTGCGCGGAGTAGTTCCTAAAAGGGTTGCCGGCTGAGACCCCGCCAAAACATGTCTTTCAACCCTCAACAAGCCCAACAAAAGACAAAAGGGTTCTGCCGTAGCGGAAAATAAATAGACAATGCTTTTATGGAGACACGATGCTTTATATCGTTCAAAGTGCTTCAATGTCCGCAAAACGTCGCCAGAGAGGTTGTCCCAAATATGTTTTTGACCATGCACAGAAAGTGCGCCGGTCAAGCCAAAGTGCGCGTTGGCGTCAGCCGGTTCAGGGTGGGGCCTGACGATTTCAGGCTCCGCCTGCGCAGCAGGTTGGGCATGCTGCCCTGGCACCACTGCAGAGGCAACAAAAGCATCGCCGTCCTCTCCATCGCAAAACTGAAGAAAACCCGCAGCTTGGCTTTGAGAAGGCTGATGTGGAGCTGGCTGTGGTCTTTTCTTTAAGAGCCCTTTGGACTGCGAGATCAACTTGTCCAGGGTTGGCTGGATCGGCAGGGATGGAACCTTCAAAGGGAGAATAATGTTTTGCGAATGACAAAGCAGCACCCAACAAACACCAACTTTGTAAAGGAATTCGCTTTGTTTCTGGCACGTTCAGCCGCTGAATGTGTCGGTCCAAATTAGACGTCACAAAGCCAGGTGCCTCACTGAGCAGAGACTCAGTGCCGTAGTCGCAGCACATGCCCACCACGCTTGACGCGAAGGAACGGAGGTCGCTGACCTGCCAATCAAAACTCCACCCCGAAAAGTTGCTGGAGTTCATTGCCGCCGACTTCCACTATCGTCCCCAGCAAAAGCCAAATCAACTCGCTTAGGTGCCCGCGCCTGAGTTCCCACCTGCAGCTTGATGCAGTGGAAGAGGCATTCGAATTTCGAGGCCAGATCCGACTTGCCGCTCCCCACTATGCCAATAGGCAGAGCGGATGTTTTCAAGAACCCGGACTGAAGGAACTGGTCCAGCTCTGATTCACCCTCATCCGGATCCAATGGTCCCAGCTGGTCGCGCTTCTCCAACAGGAGCATGAGCTTGCCTGCGTCTGACCGCCTGACAACATCCTGCAAAGTCATCAGCCAATCAAGGCCGTTTTGCGGCGAGCTATCGACAGACAAGTACACAAAGTGCTCGTCGGGCATCCGAAAGCCCGCCTGCTCGCGAAGCGCAAGGGCAACATCGAGCTTCAGCCTGGCCCGGCTCAAGACCGACTCTGAAGGAAACTGAAGGCCGCCCTGCTGCAGCTTGAGTTGGTACACCGCAGCCACATCACCGCCAAGCACCAAAGCAAGTGCTCGTGTGACACACTCTGCGAGGTCGCGGTTGTTCTTGACCTGCTAGGGGCAGAGCCAAGAAACCAAGGGATGCTTGCAAAAAAACCGGCCCTGCCGTGCCCGCGCTGCCCACAAGCCGAAATGAATGTGGGAACGAGTGGCCCTCAACAGCTCTGTCTGACCCACACACACACATTGACAAAGCGACAAACATGCGATCAATCTGATTGACAGGCAAGCCGCAAGTCGGCTGAGCAGGAGAGATTCCAGAAGAGACTGCAGTGAATACGTGAGACCGCCTCCTCTCTCTCTAGAAACTTTCTGAAGCGTGGCCTGTTTCTGGCCTGTCAAGATCAGCTTTACTTGGTCTAGAAGTGCAGACGCCTCTGCCTGAGCACAGCTCAAGAGATGCTAGCAAACCAAACAAACAACTTTAGGATATAGTGAGGGTTGCAACTGCCTGACCGAAGAGCTAGGAAAACATGCAATTGCAGGACAAACATCTTGGTCACTATCCTGAAGACGACGCCTTTCGCCAATGCCCTTCAGGCTGTTAATGGCAGCATCGATGGCAGCAGCGTCAGCATCGTGCGGTGCCCGTCGAGCCATGGGACGGACACCTCAAGCCCTTCATGGCGCAAACAGATGCCTCAAAGCATGGCCGAATCAAACGGATCCAGCCATGGGCTGGGAATGAATGTCAATCACGCTGGCCTCAACAACTGGCCTCGACGTGTGCAAGTTCTGTTCATTCCTGCCCGTGCCGCCTTTCTCATGTTCACGCAACACATGCAGCATTCTGAGCAATAAACGAGCACTCGGAAGCGATGGCGCTTCTGTCTTCCCCCCTGCCCACATCAGCCAAGTACTGAGACACATCCTGCAGGAGCGAAAAACGTTAATAAGTGTGTTTGGTGTTCTGGTTGCCAAATTTAAGCACATGCACTTCCAAAAATCCAAGAAAACTGTTGAACACACATATCAGGTGCCCGGAGGTGTCATTTTCTGAAAACAACCCGCGCGTGCAAGTCCTTACAGCCCAGCTTTTGTGGTCTTCTTTAGAAGGAAACCCAAAGGACACCCACCATTCTAAAAAAGGTCCCCTAAAATGATATACGCATTTGGGAGTGTGAGTTTAGGTGTGTGTGAGTGAGTGCTTGTGTGTTTGTTTGTCTGTTGGTACCCTGCTTGAAATGAGCACGGGAAACCAATTTTCAAACAGACGCAAAGTTGGGGTCCTCGGGCGCACATACCCCACGTGTCCATGCACTCACTGGGATGGCATTTGCCTGCTTCACGAGCAGGGATCCATTCCTTCAGATCTGTTGCTTGGGCGCGCCCGATTTTAATTTTTTTTGCGAGAGCCCGTTTTTTTGTTCGGTGGGTTTAAAGGGAAACCACAAGGGCTGCCATTTTGGGAGATCTCCTAAACAAGGACACACCCAGATGACAATTTTGGTGACAAGCAAAAGGCGAGGTAAAGCAAATGCAACTGATGTCGCTGTTTTGTGTTTTGCACTCGCCCTTTCAAGCCATCCAGCACCACGGCCTATTGTTCTACAGTGATTCTACAGGCATTTGAGAGACTGGGACTTTCTAGTGAGCCATTCGAAAAGGATGCCTAGACTTAAAGTATGGAGGAAGTGTAGCTATCTGATGGAGACAAAACTGTGATTGTGTGGCCCTGTTTGGGGTTTTATGGGTAAATGGGCAGTTTCCCGTATTCCCTTCGAGATCACCAACAAACAAACACACACACACACACACAACTAACCCACACACTCCCCAGAACCCCTCCAAACCCCCAAAGCCCTCAAAAAACTTCCCCCTCTCAAACGCGCCCAAAGCCCCCCAGATGCCCCCAGCTCTTTTGACACCGCTCCCTCCACCCCTCCCACCCACTCCCCGCACCCCTCCCCGCACTTTGTCCGGCACCCCTCCCCCCAACCCTCACCACACCCCTCCCTCCCTCTTTTTTGTCCTTGAGTCCTCTCCACACCTTCCGTGCCTTTCCGTTAGGCGTGGGAATGCCGAGCCCCGGGGCGAACTCCGCGCTTCGGCGCCCGGAGGTGGGGTTGATGCTGTGCAAATGGAGGCTACCCTTGGATGGTATTGGCAGTTGGCAGTTGGTACCTGAAGTTCTGGACTTCGAAACTCAAAAGTAGTTTTGACCAATACTGAAGGAGTCCTTCTCAGTTCCTGTTGGAATCCTGATGTTCAATCTAAAGAACATGTTGCTTAAGGGCCAAGACTAAACATGGTAGTATTGCCCCATACTCAACCAGTCTTCATATGGCTGTGGGTCAAAATTAAACCACCCGGAGACCGCAAATTTTAGTCCATGTTTCCATTTTAGGTACCTATTTTGTCAATGTCGGGAACCCGATATTTGTTTGGTCAAAATCTGACTTCTGGACCTTTCGGAGCTGCTGGGAAAAGGGCGGCATCAAGCCAATGTTGGAATTAGGTGGGTTGATGCCATCATTCATAATGTGGGTGGACGCAATCCTGCACCGAATTGAAACCAGCAAAATCCACTGTTTGCTGGTTTTTACAGGGGAATCATCATTTTAGGGTTTGTTAGGTGGTGCGAAGCAGATTCCACGGTATATCAGTTGTCCCCAAAAGTGAATCGACCGAAAGCGACCACTGGCGCGATCACCTTTGTAGCCAATTCACTCAGATGGTCGGCCGACTCTGAGTACCTTTACCTGCTTGTACTAAGGGCAAAGATTCGCAAGGATCCGTTGATGGTTGTGTTGTCCGTCGACTTCCCCTTTCTCCAGGTTGTATCGGGGAAGGTCAAGGGAAGCTAGACATGGGGTTCCCGCATTTTGAGACAGACCCATGCAGGTTTGTCTCAAAATAGGGAAACCCAAAAAGTCCCGGTTTCACGTGCAAGCGCTCGTTGAGCTACACCCAAAAGACATTGACTTACTTGCCACGCCTTCAAGTGACACCAGTCTCAGGGACCAACGCACAAGGCCACGATTGTGGAAAATGGGGGGCTTTCCTTCGTCATGTTTCTTGGACGGGGTTCCCCGTTAAAATGAATTACCAAAGAATGGTGCCTGCTTTCTCCGGTCTGGATAGATTTGCCACTTCCATCTTACTAACATTTGGGGACTTCCTAATGGATGGCCAACTTTGGTCCAATGGGGGTCCATGTTTGGATTGTTAAGTGGGAAAACCGTTTTGGGTACTCTCCCTCCCACCAGCATAGCACCTGTGGGAGGGTACCTGGAAGATCAACTTCCTCTTGGAGGGACCCCCTGTCAGTCAGGTGCCATGTTGGTGGGAGAGAGTGTAGTCTTTTAAAGGAACCACAAGTACGCCGGGCAATTGCAAGAGCAGCATTCTGACTCAAGAGGGGCTCACCAAGACTGGGCGAGATATGAGCGAGATGGTCACTTGAGCCACAATCGACTGGTGAGGTCAAGAACATGAAACTATTTTCTGAAGAACGCAATTGGGTAGGCTAAGAAAGAGTTCTCTTGAAACAATGCTTGGCTTAGGGCTGAGATATTTTTGGCCTCTACTTGGTCCATCATCAAGCAGGCACCATGAACCTTGGTGGCCTTCCCCATGACCTTTCTTGAACACAACTTCAAAAGGCCCCCTCAATCAATAAAACAGCTCCAAAGGGTCGCGCGGACGGACACCCTATCGTAAAGCACCCTTGAAAGGACACCCTCCTCCAAACACATCCCCGGCTAGATGTGTCGCAGGGGGTCTTTGTCCTGGGCACGTCGCTGTATGTCGCTGACACGGATCAGCACCGGGTGCTGCAGTATGGCCTTAGCGGCGGAGATGGGACCGTCGTGGTGAACCTGTCACGCTTTTCAGGAGCAACTGACAGTTGAAACGCCGGATTGACAAACCCCTGATTGATTCTTTATTGATCCCTTCCCATTAATCACAAGGTGATTGAGGGTTGAGCCCTCGAAAAAGACACGTCCACGGCTTGAAAAGGGAGTACGGCGTGGCTAAAATGCATTCACGCCACTTGTTTCAAGCCCAACTGTGCTCATTTGAGATTTCTAGAGCCCCTCCCCAGGTGCCCACAAAGACATCTAGATGGCCAGAGGGATGGGTGCGTTTGTTCAAGGAAATGTGTACGGGCCATAGCTCCTGTGGATGGAAATTCATTTCGCACCACCTAAGAAACTCTGGTTTGCGATGATTCCCCAATGTAAATAACAAATTTCAGCCATGGTGACTCATCTAGTGGTGCAAAATGGATTTCGCAACCACCCATTGCTATGACCCCTGGCGGTTTTGGTGTTTGTGTGCCCATTGTGGGCTCCATGCTCACCTTCAGAATATCAGATGTAAACCCAAGCAGCCCACCATGAGTTTTTGTTGGGTGCGTTTGATTGAGGGTACCCTTTTGGGTTGGTTTTAAAGGAAACCAAAGGGCGGGTCCCCATTATGTGTTTGGTGGATTTGCGTTTGGGGTTTGTTCCTCTTGACAGGACCCTTTGGATGAGTTGATCCATGTCAGCAATATTTTCGGGTAGTCCTCAGTTGCTTTGGTTTTGGGACTTGCCCCCTGGTTTTGGTAGACGGCAAATGGGAATCCACCCCCAACCCTCAAACCACCGGGCTCCAATACCGCTCGGGGGGAAAGCTGATAATCAAAAGCTGAGGGTGAGCATCCATTTGCTGAAATGAACATTTGTTATTTTCCCTTGTTGTTTGTATTTATGTGTATTTTGATCTATCTCTAGTGGACATATGTGAGCCACAATCAAGACCCGGGTAGATGAAGGTTAGTAAGGGGCAGTCCCAGCCGGAAACAGTTGCGGCCTCCTTTCTAGTTCTTTACATGGTTCTGGGTTCACCAATGTTTGTACCGATCGGTTTTGTCTGTGACTCCTGTGTACTTTTTCCCAGGGGGCTTGAGCAACAAAGTGAAACTAGTGCTGTGCCTAGCAAGTCAAGAGAGTGGTCCAGCAGTGAGGCCTTTTGGGGTTCCGTGCTCTTGACAGACCCCAAAACAGGAACACCACTAATTATGTTTGCTCATCGTTTGGGTATGGTCAGGGGCCTGCTGGTGCTTGATCACACCTGTTTCAAGTGGGCCAGGCCGGAGGAAACGGAGTGGGCAGCGACCTCAATCAGCTCTCCAGCCCCGCTCAACTCTTCGTGGACGACAGCGAGCAGGCGCGACCCGTTCGGCGGCTTGCGACCGGTTCATTGCCTTTAAAAAGGGAACTTTGGGTGGAACACGGCGCTTGGGACTTTTGGGAGGATACCCTTCAACTCGAAATTGGTAAAAGTTGGATTGATTTGTTTGCTACTCATTTTCTTGCTTGGGTCCCTGAGGGAATTCCCATCCCGTGTCTCCTTGAAGGAATGCCCTTTCACGGAAATCACCAACCCGCGCCAGTTACAGCAAGTTTCGATTGACCCTTCTTCCATATTCCATGTTAATAGATATTAGCGGCCTGTTTGAAGGGAGGTTCGTTTGCAGGTGATTTAAGTATGGTTTCCTTGAGGTCCACATTCTGAGGGATTCTCAAGATTACTTTGGGGGTGAGAACACCCTTTAAGCCAACATTAAGGCTTCTGTGTTGGGGATGTCGCTTTAACGATGCCAGATAAATATGGACAAATCTTGTTTGACACTCAGTTTCGTTGTTGTAGAAGCCCGCTTTAAGGTCCCCCTTGACTGCTTCATATCAACAGGTAATCGAGTCTACTTTCGGGAAGCTTGACAGGCGGGCAGCAGTAGGCTTTGGTTTTTCATGCATTCGACATCTCGGCGCAGTTGGCTCAAGTTTGTTCTCGAGTTTCTGGACTTCAGGTTCTTTTTTGGGTGGACTGTTTCAGTGGCAAACGGAAGGTTTGGCCTGGGTTTGACGTATCCACTCAGGAAGTGCGGCAAGCCACTCTTTGAAGTCGACTGGGCTGATGATCCGACTTCGGTGTTTGGCAACATCCTGTAAACTGCATCAGGGGAGCCGAAGCGTGTTTCGTTAAACTGGTATCCAGGTTGCACCAAGGACTGATGGCGGAAAGGAACGAAATCGTTAGAACTAATTTCAGGTGCAAACTCCATCAGGGAAAAGAGCAAACACTTTGGGCTGCATCCGACTTTTCTACCCTTCCATTTGCTTGAGAATACGTGTTATGTGTTTCTTGTTGTTTTAAAGGGAATCTATCACTACTGGATTTGTTTAAAGTCTTTTTCCAGGGATATTCAGAGGGTGAAGAGTGCTGACCGAGTGTAGCAGCGGTGGATCGTTGTGCGCAAACCGCATCTGCAACGCCGATTGGGCAGCATCAAAAATGGTGCACCATTCATGTCCATGTCCTTTGGGCAAGTGAGTCTGGGTTCCAAACAACCCCAACCAAGTGGTCGCGTCGCCCAGTCGCCCAGCTGCAGGAAAGCGGCTCGGCCGTCGTGCACATCTACGTGGTGGACACGGACAATCATCGGGTGTCGCGGCTGCGGATTCGAAGTGGACATCCGTGGCCGTGTCAGCTACACAAAATGGTTTCTACAGGAACCGCCTTTATTTTGCAGGCGGGGGGGGGGTGAGATAGAAACTTGACTGGGAACTGCCTTGGGGCCAGGAACTTCCTTCCTTTTGCTGGAGGGGTGATTGGTGCTTATGCGGAAAGCGAATCGACCCTTTGACCTTTTGGTTTTCCCGTTTTGTTCAATTTTTAGTGCAGGTGCCAAAAGGTTATCCGGGGCCTTTGGGCAAGTGAGTCAAAGTACATGAGCTATATCTCAAAGACGTTTTGAATAGATGAAGTTTGGACAGTATAAACCTATTCAATAAGCTTATACATGGTTGGCTCAGCTTCCTTTTATTTCCATCCAAGGAGCAGCTCAGTGGTCAGTTCCTTCGCTGGCCAACTCCTTGGAGTTTGGTCACCAGAGACCGTCACTTGCCGTTGTGGCGAGCTTTGAAACGAGGTCACCATGAAGGCTTTACTTGGGAACGACCCTGTTGATAGTCAGGACCCTTGGGAGAACTTAGGGTACTTCTTTTCAGTTTGGGATCGCTTTTTTTCAGGCTTGGCACTGTTGAAACACAGATTGCTCGCTAGCCTCGTGAGAGATCCCATTCCCAATATGTATGTATATATTTATGTAATATGACACCACAATCACCTACCATCTGGTGCCGATACGGGTGGATTTCGCCAATCCACAGTACGATTGTTTTTTGATGTACCGTGTTTTCCATTGCTTTTTAAGGAACACCAAAAGGACCCCAATGTTTTGGGGGGCTCCCATTTTCCCTATTTCTGACACCCGCCCCCTCTTTATCAACTGGGTACTACCTCTTTTGGGGGCTCCAACCCTCCCCCCCGCGCCCCTTTATCGGTACTTCTTGCGGGGGCTCCCAATTTCCTGATTTTGACACCCCCACCCGCACACCCACGCACACACACGGACCCGGTGGAAGCCCAGGTCATGAAGATCCGGGAGGACACCGGGGACGCCACGGAGGTGGCCGGTGGATGCCTTGAGAGCCCCAACTACATCGTGCCCTGCATCCAGGCGCGGCGCCGTATGGATCGCACCCCGTGGGCGAAAAAGACCAAAGGCGTACTTTGGTTTGAGCAAAAAAACATGTTCCTTCTGGTGAAGTGAACACAGAAACCGTCTTGTGAACCAAAACAGTGATTGTTGTTTTTTCGTTGTTTCTGGTGTTCACTTTCTTCTGTTTATAAGTGTTACATCTGTTTGTCTTGTGTTCCTTCATTTTGGATAGAGTTGGGTGAACGTGGATGGCGAATTCAATGAATTCCCCGATCTTCACTCGTCAACCCCTTCGCTTGGCCACACCTGGGGCCCAATCGGAGTCCACTACCGTCGGCGTGTCGCAGTACGTTCGATTGCAGCGACGCAATTCGAGGGGCCGAACTGAAGCTAGACATGTCAAATCAGTGTGGCAAAAAATATATTGAACTGGAGGTAGATTAAACTGAAAGTAGATTCAACTGAAGTTGTTTTTCGTTTTTTACCATTGAGGGTTGTATTTATGTAAGAATGGCAAAGCAACCCTAGTGGATCCATTTGCCTGTAATAGTAGGTAACCAAGGGAACCACCCTTTAAAAACCAAATCAACAAATGCTTGGTCACCTCTACAGGCAACTGGGATCCACTACAATCTTAGAAACGGCAGGTCCCTCTGAGACTCTATGCCTCTCTCCCATAAAATCTGCATCTGTGCCCCTCTACGACAAATCCTGCAGGGCGGCGTGCACGATCCTCCACGGCCGTGGCCGGACAACATGGAGGACTTTTATCTGGGTTTGTCAGGGCTCCTTGTATGTCCCTTTTGGGGGGTGGTTTCACGCATGTCATATGGACAATTGGAGTTGCAGCTTTGTACAGCACCCTGCAAGAAGCAGTGCCAGGAGGTAGTTGCCAAATCAGCACGTGTCCATTTGGGAGGAACGAGAACAGGGGACGAGCCCTATTTTTTCCATATTTGGTTGCCTCAACTTTGCCGCCGCATCATTGTTTGTTGGTTCTCTTTTGAGAGACATCCCCAAAATAGGAGCTCCTGTAAACAAAGGCACCTTTTTACATCTTCGTCTTTTAGTCTTAGAGGGACATCTGATAGTTTGCATGTTTGGCCATCTTTGGTTGGTGGAGGGAGATGGACAGACATTGGGTTTTTAGACAAATAGCAAGACAGAGAGACAAAACACATAAATACTGGTGGGTAGGCAGATAGATTGGGAGAAGCAAGAGGTTCATTGATTGATTGATAGATAGAGAGAGAGAGAGATAGACAGTCCAAGACTGATAGGTCGATAGAGAAACATACAGATAGAAAGATAGACACATAGATTCTGAAATAGGGAGAAGAGAGATAGATAGTTAGATAGATGGGTAGGTAGATAGAAAGATAACTAAGTAAAGGGGTAGATACGTAGATAGGTAGATAAATATGTATATAGACATATAGACAAATGAAGATATAGATTGCTAAATACTATAGGTCGAACATACAAAGTAAACTCTCTTCGGACTTTGACGGGTCGCAGTGCTCTCGCTGTGGCGCGGTGCACATTATGAACATCAAAAGTGAACCCTCTGCGCACTTTGGCTGTCGCGCGCTGCATCGTAAGCGAACCCTCTGCGGAGTTTGGGTGGGTCGGATCACTGCCGCTGTGGCGCGGCGCGAGTGTGGAACTGACACAAAGTGAACCCTCTGCCAACTCTTTGCGAGTTCAATCGCTATTGCTGCGGCGCGGTGCGAATTGAACGTCGAACGTAAACCCTCGGATCGCTCATGCGGATGCTGTGCGAATTTTGAACATGGAAAGTTGAAAAATGTTCGAGATGTTGCCGGAAAAATGGCCGTGACTGTTCTCGCGTGACGAGTTCACAAAGTTCATCTTCCAATCTGCGATCTTTTTACTTGATGTTGTTTGTCTATATTGCGGTTGCAGGCGTATACTTGGTGGCAACGATGGAAACCGATCCATGGCGTGATGCAGACACGACGTCCTATGAAGACTCTGTGTGGTCATTTCACTCAACGGAATCTGCTGCACTTTCTTGCTGTCTGCGTGGGTTCCGTTTTAAAACGTTTCCTTGTAATTTGGTCGCTTGCCAGGATAATTTTCATGCTGCGGTGGGCCTATTGGGGTGCTGCCATGCTTGGCCTTTGCACCCATTCTTTGTACCTAGTGGGACCCAGCCATGGTGGCTTTTGCAACGCCTTCCTGGGGGGAAGGGGCTCCCCTTGCAGCATAGGTGGGAGGGAAACAAATAGATTTCACAATTCCTGACCCAATGTGAATGGCTCAGCGACAGGTCTATGCAGCCCACTGCGAGGAATCAGCCTGTGCCTACCAGGCGCTTGTAGCGTGATCTTGTCAGAGAGAGACCCATCGACAGCTTGGCAGGAGATCCTTCAACACCCCAAAAAATGCACAGACCAGGCTTCGCACTTCGCTTTGTTCATGGCACAGAAGCGCGATTCCTTTCAGTGTGCCAGGGCCAGAACGCGTTCCAGGGACACCACGCGGAACTCATCCTCGCCGAGCGTTGCAAGTTGCTGCCTGAGATCATGCTGTGCGCAACTCCATAGAGATGCTCAGTGATTTTTAGCTTGCCTGCTATTATATAATTAATGGTGGTCAGCGCCTCCGGGATACTTAAAGTACTCCTGTCATGGCGTTTGTCTTCACAAACTCACTGCTCCAGGCAGCTGCGGCCTGGGGGTCTTCATGGGCCCGCGGCAACCGCAGGGCTTCGATGCGTGGGAGCTGCGAGAGGCAAGCGGGCACGTGGCAGGGGAGGGTAGGTGTAGGTCCTCAAGCATTGGCCTCAACCCACACATCCTGCAGGGGGCCTGGCTGGAGAGCATGGGGCCGCCTGTGGGCAGGGGGGCAGGTCTATATGGGCCGGACCTCCTTCAGCCCGGAGCAGCTGAAGCACCTCGCGCGAGAGCTCCTTGGATGATATCTCTTATATTCATATTCTCAGCCACTGAGAAGGCAAATGGCAAGCAGAGACCCGATCCAAGGGTCGCCATCTCTGGCAACTACTATGCCTGCTACTACAAGCTGACGAGCTACCCGGCATACAATGCCTGATGAAAGGGCGTTGTGGCGCCTTACGAGGAAGTTCATGGTGGCGATCATCTCCTCCTACTTGAGAACCGCAGCGGCGCCCCTTTTTGCTTGATGCGTGCTTCGCCTCTTCGTTCAGGGCGCTTCTAATTCCTTTCTTGAGCCCGCGGGGCTACCTTAACAAATTCGCTAATTGCTGTTGTCAGCATTGCGCTGCCGTTCTTGAATATGATCGCACGGCGCTGCCATCTCGTGGTATGCCGACATGGACATCGTTCTTAAGATAGCCTTACTTCCACATTGCCTCAGCACACTTGCATCGCACCATGCCATGCCATGAAGAATTCATAGCACTTGCCGTATGCTATGATTGCATGGGGTTTCCCATTTTTGTGGGCAAGAAGGTTGGTCCCCTGAACATGGAACGCCAAAAGCAGGTTCCTCCAAAAGGAGCTGCCTCTAAACTTTATGGCTCTTTGGGTGCCACACAATGAACAATGTTGACCCCGGATCCAAGAAGAACCTTGCAGACGAGGAGCTCTAGAATAGGGCACCCCCAATCAAATTTAAGCAGGGGGCTATTAATCCTGGGTTCCCTCTGACCTGGAAATGGGGTGCCCATTCCAGTTGTCTACTCAATTTTACGTTTAAGTGTCCCATCTTGAATTGGGCCCCAAAAGCAGGTACCAAGGTTCCAAAAGGAGACCCTCAAAAAAAGACGAGCCACCCACATGCCCGTGCGTCAAGCGGGTGGATTCCACCCCGCTGAGGCTGCTACACCTCACTCCCCCAACTTCCACGACCGCTAGCCAGAAATGTTGCTTGATGATGTCGAACAGAAAGACGACCAAGTTGGCCGATCGCCGGCCCACAAGCGGGCCAGGGTTTGGCTAGCGACGTGGTCTTGCCCCTGCAGTTTTCCAAAGACTCTTGTAGATTGTAGAGCACAGAGAGTGTGGACCATTGCTTCCATCAAGTTTGACCTGCGCCACAAGAGCTATCCATTGCCGGAGCGCTGATGGATTGCTGCCGAAAATTGTGCGCGGATATTCAGTTGCAATCACACGATCGCACGGAAGCCACTGATCCACGGCACCTCTGGTCACAGCTCAGCGGGGAGACTCGCAAGGCCCGACAGGGGCATGGTGACCAATAACGTGTGTCCGGCCTATCAACGGAGGGCGCCATATAGAAACACAGGCCATCACCGTCAACAGTTGTAGTAGCTAGCGGCCATTGTGCTCCCCACCTCTCCCGTTATTCACCTCCATTGAAAGGCCGCTTGCGTGCCATGACTGCAGGACATGGCTCATGATCAGCCAGTTTGCGCAGACAAAGGAAGTAATAGATAGGAAATGATGAATAACTAGCTAGAGCTGTTCATATATCTTAATCTATATCTAGACATATAGATAGATTGACGGGTAGGTAGAAAGAAAGATCGATAGGTAGACAAACGGATAGATCCGGAGTAGGTAGAGAGATAGACAGATGGATAGACAGGGAGATAGACAGATGGGTCAGTGGATGCACAGACAGCGAGACTGATAGATAGAAAGCTAAATAGTCAAATGAATGGATAGACGCAGCAGAGATCGATATGCGCGTAGAAGAACAAAAAAAGGAAGGAACAAGAAACAAAGAAAAGACAGAGAGCAAGAAATAAACAAAGGAAAGTGAAAGGAAAGAACAGCAAATGAGGAAATCAATGATGAAAGAAGAAACGCGATGAAGCACAGAAAGAAGGAAGAAAGACCGAAAGATGGGAAGAAGGCAAGATGGACATGAAAAAAATCAACTAAAGAAGGACAGAAATAGGAAGAGAAAACGAAATAAGACAAACAACAATGATATCTATAGTTTTTATATTCTAGATACTTCTGACCACCGGCTTCCCCTCTATGTTCTAATACTTCATCACTTTCCCCCAGCCTTGGATGAAGATACAGGCCCATAGTTCCACTTTTTCTTACCCTCAAAAGGCCTTTATTTCTGGTTCATTGCTTGGTTTGCTTGCTCCACAACAGGGTGCGGAGTGTTTGCTCTAAATGGCTGGGCATTTGGAGGAACTCAACCCCTCCAGCGACAACCCCCCCATCTACCACTTCTGGGGGCCCTCAGGTCCGCCGCCGAATCGCGTGCGATTCACGATTGGCCCTTGGTCCTTGTGATTGCCGTTTAAACCACAAAACACGGTACCCTCGAAAGAGACATGCCCAGTTTTGCCAGCACTTATCAGCTTCTGACTTTAACCACCCATAGACACAGTCAAAACAAATATCGCCTAGCTTAAAGCCCGCGTTTCATTCCAAACATTCTATTCGGCCACCGAGTTCGTTTGTTCACAAACAGTGTTCTCGAATACCGGACTCCTGCAAATACCGAAGGGCCAACCTGAAGATGGCTTTCTATGCCCGATCCTCTTAAACTTGAAATCCATGAAGGATGTCCTTTTGTTCTTGTTCTGGGTCTTCGGTGTTTTGCGGCTATCATTTTTGGGGTGGTTTGTTGATACCAAAGGGGCAGCGACCATTTGGTTTCCCAAAAATCGAATCACAACGCCTTTGCTGCCCCCAGGGTCGGGGAACCCGGCCCTGGTTTGGCGAATCTCCACATTCTCTTGAGCGTGGCTGCTCCTAGCCCCAGAAAGGTCAATGGAAGGCAAAGTCGGTCGCCCCTGCTTAATGCGAGTCAAGGAAGACCAAAGGGCAACCGTTGCGCCATGTTGGGGGGTCCCCGAAAAAAAGAAAGAAAACACACACCCATGTATTACTGGGGAGGGCCCTCGTGATTTCCATGCAGTTACAGTCAGCATTGCTAATGTCACACAATTGGAGGCTTCAAGCAGGAAATGGATGGGAGACCACAATTGGAGCAACCCATGTACGAACTGATTGTTACCCACTATGTTGAACATGTGCCATGGGGTCCGTTTTATACACTTCCCATGGGTAAATGGAAAGCAGGGCATTTCCCAGCCCATGATTTCCAGTTCGTTCTGGGTGCCGTGCCAGGCCTGCACGTGGACGTGAGCACGATGGACATCACAGTAGCGGACTCCTTGAACCATCGTGCTACTGGGACACCAGAGAGGGTGATGATCGCTTCTTTGCTCCGATGTTTCATGCTGTGGATGGACAGAATCTTGCACCACCTAAGAAACCATGGTCTAAACCATAACGTTTCTTGGCATTTACAGAGGAATCATCATTCCAGGGTTCTTTTGGTCGTGCAGGATGGGTCCCGTACTTCCGGTTTTGAAGTGGTGTTAGAGATTTGCAGGGTTTTAAAGCCTTTTTCTTCGTGGGGATGGGAAAACCACTCTGGTAGCACAGCAATTGGGTCAACGTTTGGAGTCAACTTAGATCTTTACCCTTGAGACAAATGATGACTGGCGGAAAACAACGGGTTGAAGGAGTTCGCCTCAAAAACAAGATGACTCATCCTGCACCACCTAAGACACCCCCGGTTTCTGATGATTCCCCTGCAAATGCCACCGAACATTATGGTTTCCCCCATGGTGTCTATGGTTTCTGTTCAACAGTGGTGAAGAGAAGCGGATGTCGCACAGGAATCCACAGCAGGTCTGCGGGTTGAAGGGGGGCGCCGGGGGGCATGTTCCACACTTGTCGGACACGAGGTCCTGGTCTGGGAAGCAGCCCGCTGACGACCCAACTTGCGAAGCGGTTTCGAAGCGAAGCCCAGGGGCAGCATCCCGGTCAGAAGGAAAGGCAGGCTCCTCACAAGGGTTTTTTGTTTTTTTTTGTTTTTTGTGTGTTTTGGGTTTTTGGGTCTTTGGGTGTTTTGTGTGTTTTGGGTTTTTGGGCTTTTTTGATATTTGTATTGTTTTGTTTTTGTTTTTGGTTTTTGCGTGTGTTTGTGAGTTCCTTTTTGAGAAGGAAATACAGGTTGGCTTGGGGTCCATTTGCCATTTGTCAGGGGCAGCTTGGGGTGCCATGGGGTGAACAGGCCACCCGGACTCCTCCGGCGCCAGGTCTCGGAGGGACGCTGCGCCTGCCGGTACCTCAAGCACCAAGCGAAAGTGGCCGGGCAACAAGCACGAGTTCCACGAGGTGAAAGACCATTGCTCCAAGGGTACCTTCCATGTCCATTCTTTTTCAGGGATCCTTCTTTCTGGAAAACCTCCGGAAACCCACGGAAAGCGGCCGGTTTTGGGAAAGAACGATGGTTGACAAGAATGGGGAATCAACCCCTGGAATGGCGCACGTCACCAGCATGGGCGCGGAAAAAGGCCTGAGCCAAGTCAAACTGAAGGCTGTGGCAACACGTCACGGTGAGGCACAGATTTGGCGAGAAAAGGCGCTATGGTATCACCTTCGGAACCGAACCGTCTGGCTATCAGTTTAAATGGGGACCCCCCTCAAAAGTGGCTCGTGGACATGAAATCCCCAAATGTCCAACCAATTGGGTCGCCAAAGAACATTCGTCATGTAAGTGCACAAGGTTGACCAGATCCAGCCGATGAGAGTAACTTGTACAAACCCTCCAGGAAGTTCTACTACCCTCACTGGTCACCAAGGTCCCTTAAAGCATGGTTTGGAGGGACAATGTCCTGCACCAGTGATGGATCAAACCCGACATAACTCGAGTAAAGCACCTACGAACTGGTGGAGGACTTACAGTAGGCTTCACCTGCTTTGAGCGAGATGCCCTCGTATTTGACTTGCCCAGATCAAAAGCACAAACCTTGCCAGTCAAGTAGCGCTCCTCGTCCTTGGTGTGCAGAACCTGAGAGGCTTTACCGGCACCCTTGAAACGGCACTGACACTAACCGAAGATAGAGGATCCCTTTTGCAGTAAACTTCCGTCGTGTGTGGGGGTGCGGGGTTGCTATGTTTGTTAGTTGTTTGTCTTTTGTTCAAACAAAACATCAGGAATTTGCTGAATGAGGACAGACACCCTCACTCACCGTTGATTTGGGCAGATCGGCGTGCAGTACGGGCTCAGCAAGTTGGTGGACAAGTGCATTGAGCTGATCGCCGGGGGTCCCAAGGTCCTGACTGGCGCTTGAAAGTCGTACAGTTTCATTCCGACGTCCTGGTCGAAAGACCTGCTTGGGTGTGTCTTTTTGGGAGGGTATCCAGCTTTTGTCGTTTGACGGGACCCTTTAGCAAGACACACCCTCGTACTTGGGGTCACTATGGGGTCGGTAAGGATCAACCCCGTATTGGTGGATGGTGGCAGAAACCAAGGCCACGGCCCAACAGTCTTGACGAGTTGCTGGCTTTTCTTGCTGGTGCTCATAAGGAGTGACCCAGGGTATTGGGAATGAACCTGTGGATTCCCTTGAAGGAAGCCAACTCGGGGACGGTTTATAGTCATGCAATTTCCTATTCCCTGCCTATCGAACCAGCAAGTGTTTCGTTCTACAGGGAGCTTGACTGGTACAGGCGTCACCGGTTTTGCCCCAAACAAGTGCGTATGAAAGGGGTGTGCTGATTCACCGAGTAAGTGACAACCCCATCCAACCAAGCAGTGGCCCCGGCGGGAAGCCGCCATTGTCGCCACTTTGTGGGCAAACCACCCGCGAGAAGAGCTCCAGGACAGCGCCTGGGAAGAATTAGAACCTTCTAGTGCCTTCCATTTCCATTCTGAACCCAGGGATCCGGGTCTTTTCAGGAAACCATCAAAAACCCAGGGGAAACAGCCGGTTTTTGAAAAGAACGATGGTTGAAAAAAATGGGGAATCAACCCCTAGAAGCCTGGCCATACTTCCACAATCAACGGAGACTGCTGCAAGCCAGCAAGAGAGACTGCTAAACACCGCTACCCTGGTGATACTTTTGCTGCTCGTATGACAAGAGGTGTGATTGTCAGCGGTGCGGGAAATAACCTAGCGCTGTCATATTTGATACGCGCATATGTTGTCGGACAGTTTGCTGACCTCTTTTAAAGGGTCATTCTGTGAATGGGCACAAACCCACTTCGCCCCGTTAGGTAGGTGGTTTATTCCAGTGTTTCTGGGAATGTATCCATCCCAACTGGTGCCGATCGTGGATTTTGTCCCACCCAAAGCGGTCCGAAAGGTGCGCCCAAATTCGCTGACGGCTGTTTGGGGCTCCATCACAAAAAAATGGTTCTGTTTGATTTCAGGGGGCGTACTCTAACCCTTCATCACCGATGAGATCAAATAGAACCAGAGGAAGCAGAGATCAAATAGAACCATGAGAGCCTTTGGGAGCCTTCATCACCATATTTGGTGGAACCAGAGGGTTTCTGCTCAGGCTCCTCTCTGTCCTTTTTTTTTCCGGGGGGTGGGCTTTGAAGAAAGGAGGAAACACCCGCATAACCCATGGGTTTCAAGCCAACGGTCAGCTTGGATCATCCAAGGTCACAGATGACCACATCTTGGAATCCGAGGACGGCTGCCGTGTTTTAGGGAGTTGGTGTCTGTTTTGGTGGCGCCTTTTGTATGTGTCCCAAAAAACGCAACAAATAAGGCCTTTCTCTTTTTGGTTTCCTCTTTTTCGGTCTATTTTAAAGTGACGCCAAATGGTCAACCTTTGATTTCCGGTCCTTTGGGCAAGTGCAAAGGGGGGTCCTTTGAACATGACCAAGGGGAAGCTGTTGAAAAAGGGGCTTCACTCAGCAAACATAGGAGCCAGCTGACCGTTTGGTAGCTGGGGTGCTGGGGTAGACTTAGGATACGTTTTACATTTTGCCGGTGACTCCCTGTGAAGCAAGCCACAAAGTATACGTTCTATAACTGGGCCTAACTCTAATCATGGTAGGTGTGTGTGTGTGTGTGTGTGTCTGTGTTTGTGTGTCTTCATCCATTTAAACTTCCCAAAGGTTTAATGACCCAGGGCCTCACTCAAAAGGTCCCAAGTTGCGAGCAACTCTGTGGAGCCGTTGGTGGGGTCGGATCGCTTTGCCGCTCACTACTCTGGACAAATCTGGACAAAATCTGCGCCGATCGGTACCACTTAGGAAAGATGAAGCCCCAATAAGCCCTATAAATAATGGGACAAACCACCAATCCCAACTGGTGCGAACTGCATGTTGTCCGTTTGTGGACATGTGCCCTCATTCGGTTTAGTCATACACCAGGGGAACTGGTGGGTTTCCTCATAGACCAGGGTTGTGGGTTGGCGGTTTTCATCACTTTTGTGGTTGCCGATTTGCATTGAGTTTTTTCCCTGTATGCTGTTGCTGGGGGGTGATGTTGGGGGAAATAGTCCGGGAGCCCTGTGTAGCAACCGCAACTCCGCGGGTAAGCAAAGTTGACGTTCCCTAGGAGCCCAAGACCTCATTATTTGAGGCCTTTGGGGGTCACTACTGCAAATACTTATTTGTTTCAGGGGACTGCAGGCTATACTTTTTGACAGGACCATTTTGGTGGTAAACAACAAGTCCAGATTTGTTTTCAATGCACTCCGGAAGTGAGAAGGGTGCGGTCAACCGAACGTCCAGCAAGGGTCTTTTCTCTGGGTCTTTGTTTGAGGTTGGTCGTTTGTTGTAGCTCACCCGGATTTTACCCAAATGTCTAATTTGTCCCCAACGGGGATGGTGTCCCATTGCAGTTTCAGGTTGTAGTGAATGGTCAATGTACCTAAAAACCAGGGGCTCATGTCAGAGGTACGAGGTACATACAGTCTATGACATGATTCACTTTGGCGAAACGCACAAGTCACGCATGCTTGTTGTTGCGGGCATCTATTTTGTATCAGTCATACTGTGTATGGACGAAAACCATTTCGCACCACCTAAGAAGCCCTGGCTTCTGAATGCAAATACCAACCAACAATGGCTTCAACCGTGGATTCAGAGTGGTGAGGAATGAATCCGACTTTTGGAGACACGAGTCCCAGAGCTCCACTGTAGCCGTGAGCGCGTGGGGGGGGTAAAAATCGGAATGCGACAGCACTCACCAAATGCCCAGGGCATGGGAGGGGTACTCACCTCCTTCCCCGTCAGTTGACACCCGGTTCAGCTAAGACGTCCGTTTGCTGTAGACGGGATACAAGTTCTCGTGTCAGGTGGCAGCGCGACGAACTGACTCAAAGGCAAAACAAGCCCAACATGTTGCCCGGCCACTAGGACACGCGTCGTCCAGTATTTGATATGTGGGTGTGGCCCAAAATTCAACAGCTGATGTTTTTAGCAGGTGTTAGTCTGTGTTCCCACATACCAGCCATTTCATCTGCAAAATAACGACCTCTGGGCAATTTGCTCCAGGTTGCATTCAAGCAAGGTCAAGCTTTGCCAAAGGAAACCCCTTTTTCATTTCATTGGCACTACCTAGAGTCTCCATGACCCTTAAACAATGGGGGTCATCACCCAAAAATTAAGGGGTCATGGACCCATTTTTCAAGGGTCATGGAGACTCCAGGTACCTCTGTAGCCTGAATATTGACCGTGCCCTTCGCACGTGAGGACTTCAACGGTCTTTCGCAAGCAGCCATGATCGAGCTGGCCTGGGTTCCAAGACTTCTTCAGCTCAGACCTCCAGTGAGACGAACTGGTTCTTGGGCGTTTTCCTTGGATTCACTCCCTGAGTTCCATTTCGGACTTGTAGTCACTTTTTGGTAAGACCCTTTTAGTGGTAAATAACATGTTTGGTTGCTATTTGTGGCAATTCCATTCGATCAGAAGTGAGACAAGATGTGCATTCTGCACGGCCAGACACCTCTTGGATGTTGGACCCACGTGCATAGTAGAACCAAGGATCATGACTGATTTTTTTCTGGGGTTGGTTCCCTAAGCATGGTAGTTACTTCGCGGACTGTTTTGGGGTCTTGGGGGTTATGTCCATCAGGTTTCAGGCTGCTTGTTTCGGGTCTCAGGCTTGCGAAATCGAGACTTGGTGTTCTGTGTCCATGTGCTGGTAGTGGTGGACGGGAGTCTGGTAAATGTTTTTGGGTCTTGGGTTTAGGCTTAGTGATTAGCTTTCTTGCGCGTTCTACCCCGAAAAGTACTGCTCACGGCGGTTTGGGTGCGTTTTAAGTACTAACCCTGGCCTAAACCATGTTGGACGGTCCTACGATACACCGTCATATGACACGCACCCCTTTGCAGCTACCATCGGAACATGGAACCCACTTGGAGATGCCTTCACGACGAGAGGCCTCTGGTTCCGTCTTAGATTGGGACAACTACATCCTTAGCTTGAAAGCGATGGATGTTTCCAAAAGTAGGATAGGGCTCCTAAAGGCGTTGTTGCTGAACTTGTAGTTTCCAGAGTCCTCCCAAAAAGGACTTTTTGTAGGCTCCAAAGTGTTTGTTAGTTCTTGCGGATGTTTTTTTTTGAATATCGTTCCCATCCAAACATCAGGTGCTTGCCTCTTGTGCGACCCCCCCACTGTTGTTAACCCTCCCCTTTTGACCCTCGAAGTCATGGACTTGTCTTCTGGTACCTCTTGGCTTCCCTGAATGGGGAACTCCAGGACGGAACTTTCGTGAAGTCATTTTCTTCTCACTTGCCCAGTTTCATACTCGTTGAGGATGATCCATTTTAGTGGCGCCAACAAACGTCCAGACATGTTTGGCCATTGCATTGTAGGCATTTGTTCAAAGTGCCCACCACTCCCCACCCCCCCCTGCCCTCGCTTGAACCTGGTCCTTTTGAGTTTCCCTACGGCTTATTACTTGGGAATGAACATAGTCGGTGCACATAATTTCCCCATGCCATTTCGTGTTAACCAAAGTAGCCCCACTTGTCTTGGTGGCTCCCAGCCATGCCCTTGGCCTTTTAGCTTCTTAGTGTTTAGTGGGGATTTCCATTTTACCCCACAAAAAGTGAGTCACTTTTAGCGGGGGGCCTGAGGACAGCCCACTTGTCATACCCATCCATACTCAGCCCTGACTCGCTTGGCTTCCTCCGTCCAGCCAGAGGCCAAGCACGACGCCTGGAATTTGCATGAAGATAGCATCTACGACATCTTCATGCGCCGAGCCCTCAGGATGAAGACTTCGGCGGCAAAAAGAAAAGGGGACCAACTTGTAAATTCATGTGGCTGTGGTTGTCAAAGCCGTTTTGGGATCCCATTTTGGGGTAGGTGAATTCACCACCCATATTGGAACCTATTTTGGATTGGGCCCCGTTCACTGGGGGAAAAGGGGCTTTTGACCCATAGCCATGTTTTTGAAAGGTTCTCCTCTTTTTTCAGCGGCTTCCGGGCCTGGAATATGCCCTAAGAAAAACAGCAATACGATGGGACAGAATCATACTGAAATAGCGGTACATATGTATATATGCTCACCCCCCCCATGATGCTCACCCCCTCCCATGATCTACCTTTTCTTTGTCATCCCTGTCTGTGTTCTGTCAAATATATATATATATATATACATATATATATATATATATAGGATGTTTGGGAGTGGACAACGCCTATTGGGTGTTTGGACAGCATCGTGAAACTCAGCACTCGAGAAACAAGGAAGCTTGGCCACCAATTATAGGCTTGGCTTTTTCATGCGCAAATTTGAATCGTATCTTAGGTACCAGGTATTTCAGACACGCAATTGAGGCTGTCTTCCATTTTAGTGGTCCTGTGTTTAGGGATGGTTTCCTTTTCCCCTTCAAATGCCAACCAAAAAGAGGGTCCGAATCCCACTTTTAAAAATCCGAATCCCATTTTTCTAAACCGAATCCCATTTTTCAGAACCCCTGAGTTGTTGATGTCGGGTTCTTTTCCTTCGATCCGCCCCCCGCGCACGCGAAGAGAGGCTGGGCCACGGTGAACTCCCAGAACGAGGAAGAGAAGCGGCAGCTGAGCGAGCCCTTGATGGCCGGGGCCGCCAGAGATGTTTGACCGTTGAAGTGGCCATGGGTCAAAACCCAAATCGCACCCCCAGTGAACGGGACCCAATCCAACCACTAAAATAGGTTCTAAAATGGGTGGTGCACCGAAAACCCCAAAAATGGGATCCCATTGGTTTTGAACCATGGCCAAGTGACGTTTGCTGGGAGCCCGGGATGAAGAGCTTGGCATTTGGGGGGGTTGATCAAAAGGTCCGATGAACACCACGAAATGGGAGAAGTTACCATGGCCGTTTGGGCGCCGAACGGAATGTTGATCACCCCCCCACCCCGGCAATTTGCTTAATGATCCCTCTGAGTCTGAGCCCCGGCAATGCAAGATGAAAGTGCGGAACTCAGGGATACTAGATAAACTTGCATTGTCTGAAATGGATAACTTGTCAATTTCCCTTATCACTACTGGGCATATTTTCTCATGTTTTCCATGGGGCTTAAGCAAATGGAGAACAAGCCCGTTGAGTAGGTGCTAGGGGCGGGTGTCCCATTTTGGGAGGGGAGTCATGACTTTGAGGGGAAATTCTCAGCTTACTGTGGATGGTTGCGAACTCCATTTCGCACCGTTCAGGAACCCTGGTTTCTGAGTCGCTGAAACTGTAAGTACCAACAAACGTGATGGTGGTTGGTTTCAAGCAGGTTTGTGTCCACAGTATTTTCTTCTTGACTCCTTGAGTTAATGGACTTTAAAACATCTGGAGTACCGTTTTAGTGGCGATGTTCAGACGTTTTCAGTCCAGTCCACTCAGGAGGTGAGTTGACTTCGGGCAACAGAGAATCCATGAATGCCAATAGAACCAACTGTGGACAAATCCATTTCGCGCGAAGTGGGTTTTGTCCATCCACAGTATGGGTGTTTTTTTTTGGGGGGGGCAGCCCCCTTTTTGTTTGTTTTGAACGGCAAAGAGACATTTTTGGGCTGCCGGAACAGGGTCCAGCGAAAAAGGCAAGTCCAGCCTGACTTGATTTGCCATCACGGCTTCGGACTCGACGCGTCGCAGGAGCAACTGCGATATCCGCACATGTCCATCTCCAAGTTGAAGAAGATGTGGTGGGCCCTCACCCGGGGGGGGATTCGATGGGATGCGCCCAAACCTCCGTCCCAGCACCTTGGGAATCTACCCCGAATCTGAGGCGCCCAGACAAAGCAGAGCTATTCCGATCCATAGGTTGAGGTAACTGGAAAACGGTTTTTAATATACCAAGCCACCAATCCAAGCCACCAGTCAGGGGAAGGTCTGAATGCTCACCAACAGTGATGCACCGACAATAGTGACAGATGTCGGCATGTAGCTCATTATGTATCAGCGGCACGCAGCCGGGGCGCAACCTTGGCCGCGAAGGTTCCTTGCCTGTTGATTGCTTCGACAAGTGCCACAATGTGCTGAGCCACGCTGCACGAAGTTTGAGTAAGTCATGTTAAAAGCAAAACAGCCCGAAGCATGTCATGTCTTGTAGCTCTATTGGGATGTGGTGAGTAGGTTCCAGGAAATACACCGACCTACGCTCACTTTTGGTTGGCCGAGCTGACCCAGCAACCACTGCATTCGACTCGTGTAGAGACTGATGGCGTCCACTGCGCGGAAGGATATTCGGACCCAGCGCTGGTGCTCCCTGTTTGGGATTAGGGGTGATTATCAGGTACCCTCCCTCCAAATCACATGGAACCTGACAGGGATTCCTTAAAAGGAATATGGTTTTCCAGCACTGCCCTGTTAGGTTGCATGTTAGTTGGTGGGAGGGTAGGCCTTTTTTGGTGGTTTGGATTGGTGGTCACTCTGCCCCCCAGCAGCTGGAACCATCATTTTGTGAGGAGCCTCCTTCTGGTGGGGGGGGGGGGGGCGGACCCCTTTTGTGTGAATGCGTAGGGGGACTCTTGCAAGGGGCTAACCAAATACGCACATGATTGTCTCTTGTGGTCATGCGTTGTTTTGGTCGAAGATAATCTCTGCCCCATTCTAGTTGGGGTGCCGAAAAGGTTGGTTGGTGGTTGTACTTATTCAATTTGTTTAGACCCTCGAGTGGTGTGCACTGGCTTATTCAGGGATGACTCCTTGGGCCCAGGAAAACAAATGTGCAAAGGCCATGTTGTTACGTTGTTTGCTTCCGGTTTCATGGCTTTTAGGGACCCGACTCTGAAATCTTAGCCGAAGGAAGAGCCCTGCCGACACGGTGCCCGCCGATTTGGTGGTTGAGGCCGCGGCCGGACATTGCGCGGGGCTTTCGACATCGGAAATATTGGAGGGACATTTTTGGGATGAGACGTTGAGCTGCATTTCGGGTAGGGTGTGTATGTATGTGTATGTAGGGTGTGTGTGTGTGTGTGGTGTGGGTGTGTGTGTGTGGGTGTTTGTGTGCTTTGTTGAGGCTGGCCTTTTGGGGGTCGGCAAGGGCAACCAAAGGGTCGGCGAAGCCCATATTGTGGCTGCATGTTGACACAAACATCCCCAGATAATTGGCATATTGACCGACGCTTATATCCAAGCCTTGCGAGAAGTGTTTGGGTGACAAACAATAGTGCAAAAAACAATCAAGGAATACCCGGGACCAAGACATATGCCCATGTGCCATGGTCAAACATACCCTTTTCTTGGCGATATATAAATAGATATGACAACCATGGTAGGAGTTCCTACTTTTGATGAAGCAAAACGTCATCGAGCCATTTGGTAGGTAGTCATCGCAGCATTCATAGGTTATCATCATCCAGTGTAGCCATGATGATATATTGAATGAAGGGGGTTAGCAAGCTAGCGCCTTTACGACGTCTTGGTTTCAACCTACTGGGAGCCAGGGATTTATAAGCCCCTGGTTGATCCAGGGAACCTTGACCGATCGCAAGTTTTCGTCGCCGACCTTGCGGGGTTGCCCGCTGTTGCGGGTTTGCACTGGATCCAACAACACCCCCTTTCGCCTTATCTACAGATTAGGCCAGGCATTCAGCCTGACCACATTGACAACCCTCAAACCAGATCAGAAGTTCAGGAATTGTGTGATAGGCTTGAAAGGGAGTTCCTGATTCCTGAAACCCTGATGCACTTGACAGAATTGCTCCAAGCTCCGAGAAACATGTCGAGCACCTTGGACACAAAGTCTACCCTTCCAACAACCACGGAACTGGACAGAGGGGCCCTCCCCCCCAAAGAAAAAAAGAAGCACAGAGTTCGTCTTAAACCGGATCGATCGTCGGCTTCCATGGTTGGAGGGTACATGATCACTAAGAAAAGCGGGGCCCAGGTACAAAGTCTTGATTCACCATGAGTTTATTTTGTTTCACTCACCGGCCGCTTTCCCCCGGGGTTTTTGGATGGCTTCCCGAAAAGACCCGGAGAGAATGGTTGGAAGCTTTCCCTGTGTTGACCCCGCAACACAACCAACTTGGCGGATGGTGTCAAGGCCATGCAGTCTGCACCATAGTCGTCGAACACTTTGGGGTGGTGGTGGTGTTTCTTTTAAGTCGTTACCCCTTTGTTGGTGGCTGCAAATGAAAGCCGGAAACACCACCGTTGCGCCATTTGGGTGTCTAATTTTTGGAGGGGCCCACGAAAATGATGCTTGAAACCTGTTGGTTTCCTTCTAAATTCACCCAACACCGGCACCCTCAAAAAAAAAGGCGCCCATGTTCAAGTTCTAGCTTAAGGGACGCCGGCAAATTTTCTGAGGGTTGACGAGATCCCTCCTCTGCAGGCCTTGTTCGTGAAGCTGGAGGCACCGGCTGGGTGAATCCACCGGGCCATGTTTAGCCCTCGGTCCCTGGGTTCTGTTTCGGACTTTCGTCATGTTTTTTGGGGGATACCGGGATACCACTGTAGTAATTACTTTTGTTTTTTTTGGGAGGGATACTATTGTAGTGGCAACTAAACAGCTTAAGGACGTTGTTTGGCCAATCCGCTCGATCAGAAGTAAGCCCCAGGAGGGGATCACCGAACTTCTGGGCAAGTGAGTAGGAGATTTGAAAGCTTGGGCCTGTGCAGAGTCGCAACTTATTTACCTGCTTGATTCTGCGGTGTGCTGCTTGTCTTGCTTGTTCTACACCAAGCTCTTGTCAAAGACAGCGTCCTCTTGAAACACTACGGACTACGGGAATATCTGATGGGTCCTAAGTACTCTGATTGTTGGGGTCCTGAACAAACCAATCTGGAGGATCCTCAACTGTCGACCTAGAGGAAGCGTTTGCTTGAGAAGCCACATGGTGTTTTCTTAGGCAGGCTTGCAGATCCACATTTTTTGCTGACTCCCACATTTGGGTATGGGTCAAAATAAAGCCACCAGGGGCCCGCAAGCTTTAGCCCTTGGTTCCATTGATCAACAGAGGTGGATGCTCTTCCGGTCAGCCAAAGGCTCATTGCCCGCCCCCCTAAGACCGCGTGACGCGTGCTGCTTGCTCTTTGTATCCCTTGGCTCAAACATGGCGTGGTGCAGAGGCCCCTTTTGGAAGACAAGGTTGTTGCTTAAATCACATAATTAACATAAGACACATTATAGTAATTGATAACTAAGAAAATGATATAGACAACAACATACTAACCCTCGGGTGTTGAAACACCTGAAGTTCAATTGCCGAAAGCAAATCGACCAGATCTGACCCTTTCGTTCCCCTTTTTGACCCATGTTTGGTACTTTCCCCCAAAAGGTTAACCTTTTATTTCCAGGTCTGTTGGGCACCCAAGGTTGCAAGTGAGTAACATGACCCCTCACGGATAGGGCGTTGAAACCAAAACCGAATCGATTATGGGATCCGTGCCCTGCGGATCGCTTCGAGACAGCGAAAGCTTTCGCTTTCCTATTTGTGAAACCGACCATAAACGACCCACGGCGGAAAAACAAGTTTGTCCAGCTGGATCGCATTTGGCCAACTCCCTTGATTTCCGTTGCTTGTCGGCCAGCTTGGAATTGTTGCTTGTACTGATGGGCCACGGTCAATACGTCTTGTGCTGGTATGGCATTTGAGGTGAGTAACTCCCATTTCTATGGGAATGTGGTGAGCAATACCCATCATTCTCTTGCTCAGACAGGAGTCACTAGATTTACCCTTGCAATTCCCGAGTGGCTTGCCCATGAAACCATCCATGGCTTTGTGGGTTGGAATTGGGTTCTCAACATGATGTGACCCCAACAAGGGTGATCCTTTTGGTCTGCCTTCAAACCATCCTTGAAAATGGTACCCAAGAAGAAAATCGCCACCTCGGTGTAACGATTTCTTTGGTTCTATCCGGGCCCCGGTTTGTTTCAACCCCGGACCACGCCGGTTGAACCTCGCATCGCCATCTTGCGCCAGGAAAAAGCCGAAGAAGGCCCGGGGCTGTTCGCAAACCGCGCAGCCCGAAATCGCAGCCAGCCGGGAATTTCGCGGCGGATATTGCCGCCTTTTTTTAATTCTTGAAGCATGGGTCTGGGTGGACCATTTTAATACAAAGGTGTTGATTATGACTCAGAAGGGGCTTTCAGAAGGATTCTAAGCGCCGATCTGGTGGGGGAATTGGGCCGGATGATAAGGCCTAGGTGCACAACAGACTGTGGATGGTTGCGAAATCAAGAAGGACAAAAGCAGAAAGCGCCAGGGGCGGCTAAAAAACCAACCTGAAGGCTGGAGTTGGCACCATCCCAAAAAACTGCTTCGCCAGAAGACGGGACCGGTCACTGCCTGCTTCTGGGAATAAAACTGTTCGTTTTGAGCGGGACCATTTCGTTGGGCACACCTGTCAGGGCACCTCCCAGGCACGCAGGGGGCCCAAGAGGGGTGTGGAGCAAAGGCGAAAGGACAGAAGCCCGGGGTGTCGAAACGACGGAAAGACTTCAATGCCTCACGCCACTTCACCTGCATGGTGCTGGGGTTGATGTCGATCCCAGGGCTTTTGATGCGGCAGGAAGTCTTTGGATTGACGCTTGCGATGCAAAGTCCCGAGGAAGTGGCACAGCGTTTCACTTCCCAAGGTGAGACATCTACAAACCACCATTGCCTACTGTCCCAAACGCCAACGCTGACCGACTGAGGCTTGATCCGCGCAGGCGGTTACTTGGCAGAGTTCATGACGGGAGGATCTTTGAGTGACCCCAGGTGTGCGTTGAGCGACCCCAGTTTTCTGCGTTAGCACTTTGCTTCAGCAAGTTAACCACAGAGTCGTTTGGCGGAGACTTCCGCTTTAGATGAGGTCTTGGAAGGGTTCATGTCACTTGTGCCATGCTGGACATTTGCTAACAATTCACACGAAAAGTAGTCTCGCCAATTCATGTTTTGCGGAGCGTGTGCTTGATTGGCCTCATCTATGTTTTTGTTTTTTTTGCGAGTTCAAAGTCAACCCCCAATATGGTTCAACCGCAAGGGCCGACACGCGCCTGGAAAAAATGAGAAGCTTTCTTCAGTACTGTGGATGGTTGCGCGCACCACCCAAGAAACCCTAGAATGATGATTCCCCTGTAAATACCAACAAACAATGGTTTCCCATGGTTCAAAGTGGTGCAGGATTTCGTCCATCCACAGTAGCGATAGACTCCCTTTAAAACCAACAGGATAAAAGCAACTATAGATAGATTGTCTTAAGCAAATGGAAGCAATGATATTGCCAAGTTATTAAACACAACCCAGTGGATAGTGGCCATGGATTTTGAAGTGTTGGATTTTAAAAGGAGGTTCCCTTGGTTACCTATACGTAGACTGACATCACTGCAAAAGCTTTTGCCTCTTGCAACCAAACAGTTCTCACGAGCACGGCCTTACACTTTTCAGCCATGGATGCACATGAAAGCTGACAATATTTGATCACCAGAAACAAATACGGGACGCCCCAAACACCGATAGCGCCCCTGTAGCGAATCACAGATTTCCACAATGGAGTGTGGCTTTGATCTATGCCATATCAGCAGAAGAAGTCAGAACAATGTCATGCTCTGGGTGGACGAAATCCATTTCGCACCACCTAAGAAACCATCGTTGAAACCATTGTTCGTTGGTATTTGCAGAGGACTCGAACCATTCCGCGGTTTGGCGCAGGATTTTGTCCATCCACAGCACCCCCACTTCCATTTGCTTAAGTCGCCTGGAACAAATATGTTCAGCAGTGATAGATTCCCTTCAAATCCAACAAGGGAAATGACATGCGCCGGGTTTTTTGTTTTCATCGCAAGGGAGCAGCAAATGCTATTGAACGTTTGCACCGTCGACGCTGGCATGTCAAAATCCTAAGCATTAATGTTGACCCTGGATTAATAAACCCCTGCAGAAACGAGGATTCGCCTCTCCTTCGGCTCTCTGAGGCCTCGCTCGGGGTCTTTGCTCTTCTCCTGGGCTTGGGGCCCAGACGAGAACCGCGTTGGCGAGGTCGGGTTCAAAACTTGCGAGTTTTTACACGAACCCCCCCCCCACCCTCAACCACCCCCCCACCCACAACCACCCCCCCACCAAACCCCCAACCCCCAGCTCCCCAACGCCCAACCCCCAACCCCAACCCCCAATCCCCCAAACACCTCCCCCCCCCCCGCAAGAAACAAACTCCCTCGACGCATTTTGAGAGGAAACCCGTTTTGGATTCAAGGAGCATTTGCCTTTTTCGTGCCCTGGACAAGATGAGACACAACATGTCCACTAGTGATAGCTTCCCCTTGAAACCAACCGGGAAGATAAGAAGTTTCTGAAGCAAATGGGCATTTGACTTGGGTTTCTCTCTGCACAGGGAACAAATGCGTTCTTTCCTGTTGGTTTCGGCTTCAACCAACCGAAGGGTAGAGTTGAAAACACGCATCGATTCATGCAGACACTGGCCATGGGCTTCATCCAAGTCAGGAGGGAAGCAAGAGGCACAACATGGGGGAGCCCCTAGATTGGTGGTTTCCTTCTTTTGTTGGTACCCTGGAACAAACAAGGCACCCATGGAATCGAAGAAGGGCTTAGAGATGCAGGAACACCTGCTGTAACTCTGTGGCTTCCTGGTTTCGAATCGATTTTTTCAGCACTCGCTCTTGTCGCGCCTGGTCTGTCCCGCATTCGGACACGTGCGAGCGTTTTTTTTGTTTCACGGAGTAGAAGGTGGAAGCTTCCATTTGCTGAAGTGAAGTTTTTTTCCCCTTGTGGTGTTCAAGGGAAACTATGACTACTGGACATATGTTCTCATGTTTTCCTGCCCTCTTAAGGAAATGCCGGGAAGCAGTTGTTGGTAAGGGGGGAGCTTGGGAACAGTGGGCGGAATACTTAAGACAATTTCGGACTGATTCACTACCAAGTTTGAAGCTATTGATCTTCTATCTAGTCACTCCCGGATTTCATGGATGTTGGTCACATTTCAGAAAGACCATGCTAGTCTAGTGGCACAGAACAAGTTTAGACTTTGACTTTCAAGCGGACAAATGGAAGCTGCCATAGCCGGCATCCAGGATGTTGTCCTTTTCATGTTGGTAGCATTTTCTTGGTTACCTTTATGAGAGCCACAGCCAAAGCACGAGCAAGTGACGGCTAAGGAACAATCCCAGCCATTTATAGATGCAGGTATAGACGCCTTCAGTACAACATTTTGCTAGTGACTTTTTTGGTGGGGGCTCCCATTTGCAGCGAACATGTTTCTCATCTGAAGGTTCAGTAATGGACCAATTCCATCTGGGCTTGAGAATGCGTAATTTGCGGCGTTTTACAAAACAAGCAAAGCAAATACGAAACAAAATCAAAAAGCAACACAAATTAAAGAGACACTCCCCCCCAATAAAAAAGAAGGAAGAAAAGAGCTGCACAAAGCAAAATACACAATAACCAAGAAAAGAGACGCACGGCACAGGCGAGTTTGTTTTTTTCCCACGAGGTGCCCACGTCCCGTGTGACGGTGAGCGGGGTGCGGAGTCCCAGCCGTGGGGTTCGATGGGCCGGCGGCCGGCGGCTCGGCGTTTCTCAGGTGTTGGGCACCGCGTGGTTTTTTCTTTGAACACACAACCCAAAGAGGAGTGTGAACCAAAAAAGGAACGACAAACGCCCAAATCCGAGTGTTGAGAACCATTTTGGGCGCACCTGGGAAAGCTGCCCCACCGTGCTGTGGGAGCATGCCATTGAATTCCGTTGCATTGGAGAGGCCCGAGGTTTCTCCTTGCCTCTCAACACAAAGTGGGTCGGTAATTAGAGGGCCCCCGGGTATAGACAAGAGCTCCAGTGGATGGCCTAAATAGAGCAAGGGGAACATGAATAATGGGACCTCCTGTGAAATGCCTCATTTTGCAACGAGGTTTTTTGGTTGGAGGTTGGTCCACTTTCAACAGTTGCTTCGCGTGCGATTCAGATCTGATGGCTCCCCCTGCCATGGCTTGGAATCGGTGTGTCTTGTTTCAGAGGGCGGAGCCCCTCCTTTTGGTTCCCTTTGAGGCCATCCAAAAGGAGTTGCCTCAAGCAAAAGAACCAAATATTCCCTGAACCAAATATTCCCTGAAGATGGAGATGGAACCCAAGAAGCCTTCATTTTGAAAGGGGCTCTTCTTTTTTTGGGACCCGGGTGGCATGTGAACTTGGGCGGGGGGGGTTCATCAAGCCCAGGCCTTGGGACCCAGCCCTGGAACTCGAACCGAGTCTCCGGACAATTCTAAGCTCCGAACCAGAGCTTCTGCAAACATGTCTCGTATCGCGAGGAAAAACAAAACAACAAAGCGCAAAGCCCAACTTTCCCAACTAAAAACACAGAAGCAGAAATAAAAACACTCAGCTGCAACTCCTTGCTTGATTTGGGCTGCTGTTACCCTTGGGCCTACTTCCGCGAGCATTTGCTTCCGATCGAGCCACGAGCCACGAGCCAGGAGCTGCGCGAGAACGCGCGGCATACCTCCTCCAATGGCTTCACGGGTGTCCGCGGGGATCGGCCCATGAGGCGCGCGCGCAACCCGGGAGCCGGAAAAGGGACCGGTCCCGAAACCCCTTTGAAGCCTGCAAATTGGGTCCGTCTTTTTTCGAGGGTACCGCTTTGGCTTTGGTTTTACAGGGAGGCCAAAGGGGCCACCAACTGATTTCAGGATCCCCAAATTCTAGGACACGCCCTATATAGTAGGGTTTCCCCAAACGGAGTGGTTATGCCTGTTCGGCTCTGCATTTTGTAATCTGCAGGAGCCAACCATGCTTCGGGCTGTTCAGATGGAGATGGGATGTTAGAGCGAGACACCTTGCCACTTACGGTGACTCTGGACAGAGGGGGCTCAAGTTTGTGTGTTTGGACCTCCACAAGTGACCGATGTATTGGAACCAAGGTTGGGCAAACTTTTTTAGAAAATCAGACCTTTGTTCGGGGTTTCCTCCATTTCGCTTGTTGGAAGCTTCAAAAGTGGCGATCATTTCAAGGAAAGACACCAGTACATTGATCAACATTCGAAGGGGAAATCCAGTGACCCCTGCTGTTTCTAAGTGAAGCCTAAAGGTGGGTTGTTTGACACAAGGGAGATATGTTTGAAGGGTTGGCCCATGCTTCAGAAGACAGTAGACTCATCAGCTTTGGCTGTGACCTCCACATCCTGACAGACTCAACCTTGTAGTCAGCGACATCCAATGTTTTCCCTTATTTTCACTCTCCTCAGCATAATTATGACATTGATGTCCGGTGGACTAAATCCTGCACCACGCGGGATAGATGACACCCCCTTTCACTGCCCGAAGAAACCACCTACCATTTGGTGCAGACTTTTTTGACCATCCAAACGTATCACCTGATACTGGCCATGGCCATTTTCCGGGTTTCATCTCCCGAGGCACGGGTGCTTCTCCTGGACCATTGACCTGGCAGAAACCCAAAGCTCCTGGATCTTCGCGGCTCGGACGCTGACGCCTTCGGGATGGGAACCGGTCGGAACTCGTTTTCCGTAGGTTGAAGGAACATGAAGACAGCTTCATGCAAAAGACACGGCATCTCACCAACCTTGCGCAAACTCAGGCTTGGAAACAAAACAACGCTCCCAAAAAGGCTCGAACTCCCGAGCTTGAGGTGAGTAGTGAATCTGTGCTTGGGTTCTTCGGCATTCAGCTCGTTCCCAGCTTAGGTTGCCTGGTGGGTGAGTTAAGTGGTGAATTACTTAACTACCAGCTGTGTAACATGTTTCCATTCCCAGCTTGTTGAACTGTTTGCTTGGTTAGTCGGTTGCTGAATGACTTCATTGATGTGTTAATTATGTTTTCATTAGAGGCCATGGTTGTTCTAGCTTCTCCCCTTCTTAAACCGCGAGTTGAATCTCTCTTTGTTCGTGAAAGCTGCGGCTCGCTCAGTCTGGCGTCCAGCTTCTTGGTTGGCTGGTTAGTTTGTGAGTGAAGTGTTTAATATGTTAGGTGTTTGTTGCGTGGGTGTGGCTCAAAAATAGGGGTCCAAAATGGGACCCTCTTAAATGGCCAAAACCTGCGTAACGCCAGCTGTAATTTTGACCCACACCGACGTGTTTGTGCAGGTTGGTTGGTTGTGCGGACTTGGTGTGGAGGGAGGAGATGGATCATGTTTCGTCTTGTGAATTACGACACAGACGTGTTACAGAAGTATATTTATCGAAAGCAAGCCAACATGGAATGCCAAACAACACACTCACCTGCAGCATTGCTTTGCAGCTATGCATTTGTTTGGACCTACTGTAGCATGGCGGATGGCAAGGGGAGCTTTTCACAAATAGATATATTGACTAGATATATTGACTTGGTGCCCTTTTACCATTTTGTGGGGGGGAGGGTTCCCCTACTAAAATAGACTACAGCAAAAGTTGAACCTCTCTACGGGAGGACCTAGTTGACCTTCAGCCAAAATGCTACACAACGGAACCTGACTCAGGCCACAAGCTTTTGTAATTCATGCCATGTCCATATCGCGGCTCACTAAAATAATACCCAACCACTACCCCAAGCCAGTGTGGGGATTCACAAAACCGATAGGTTGTGTGTTTGTTTGTTTGTTTGTTTGTTTGTTGGTTGGTTGGTTGGTTGGTTGGTTGGTTGGTTGGTTGGTTGGTTGGTTTGTTGGTTTGTTGGTTTGTTGCTTTGTTGCTTTGTTGCTTTGTTGCTTTGTTGCTTTGTTGTTTTGCTTGTTGGTTGGCTGGTTGGTTTGTTTGTTTGTTTGTTTGTTTGTTTGTTTGTTTGTTTCTTTGTTTCTTTGTCTCTTTGTTTGTTTTTTTGCGGGACAATAACATATTAGGGTTTATCAACAGCCTGATGCAAGGCGCATATTCTCCTGGGCTTTGGCGCTGGAAAGCATCTTTTTCCTGAGGTGGGCGTGGTGCAGGCGGAGGACGCCAGCGACGTGGCCTGGCGCGGCAGCGGGCATATGCCGGGAGCGCCCGGATTCGATGCCAGAAGTTTGCAGGGGGTCACATGCTTGTTGTTGGGAAACATTGTTTGCATTCATGCTTATTGTGGTGTAGTGGGAAATCCAACCACTTAGCTGCTAGATTAAAAATGTCGCTCCCCTTCCAACGTCAACCAAGGTCAGGGGCATGGCGTTTTGATCGGTCACAACGTTTGTTGGTTGTTACTCCAGGGTTCCTCAGGTGGTGCAGGATTTCGTCCATCCACCGTAGGTGGCCTTTTCAGGTCAGGTTGGTGGAACATAGATGGGTTCCACTGGTTGCAGGTTGGTGAAACTCACTGGGGCACGCTGTCTGCACAATTGATGGCGGGCTCACCGATCCGAAGGTCAAACGAGTGAAAGCCATGGTAAAGACCCTTTACTTTTTTGGGATCCCTGATTGGAGGAGTTGGAGTTGTTGTAACATTTGCAGACTACTGTGGGTGGTTGCGAACTCCATTTCGCACCGCAAAATGAACCCATGGTTGAAGCCATACTGTTTGTTGGTTTTTACTCTAGGTTTCCTTAGGTTGCAGGATTTTGTGTATCCACAGTAGGTGGCCTTTTCGGGTCAGTTTGGTTGAAAATAGAGGCGTTCCACTGGTTGCAGGTTGGTAAGAAAGTCATTTAGCAGTGCCATCTATTTTCTCAACAGGTCACCATAGGAGGTCAGGGGTCCCTCAATGCCCCTCCTTTGGACCTTCAAAAGTGGCAGTGTCAATGTAGCCCAGTAGTCAGTTGCAACTTTAGGGGACATCCAGTGACCCGTGGGTGTGGCTCGTCCTTTTGTGAGGTTGCCTTTAAGATTGGTTTTAAAAGTGCAGCCCAGAGAAAACTGCCAATAAACGGGGCTCCCCGAAATCTGAACTCTATGTCGTGGTTTGGGGGGGGGGGGGGGGGCACTATTTCTTAAGACTGGACGCCAATCAGAAGGTAGGATGTGCAAACCAAGCACTTTTCCTGGGTCTTGCGAAAACAGGGCACCAGACAAAGGCATTTGATTTGCTGGCTAGTGCACATGTTGATTGTCAACGCAAACGCGGTTGGATCGATGCTACACATGTGAGAATTGCCCAGAACCCGTATTGGCAGTTTTTTAGCAGGGGTTCTACTACCTGGTTCAATGGGTATAATGACTCACAGGTTCAATGGGTATAATTACTGAGACCCGCAAACCATCTTGACAACACCACGAGGCAAGAGGTTGCGGGTTCGTCGGGAACCTCCACGGTTGTGGCCAACGGCCTCTCAAAAAGGATACACCTGAGCCCTGTTGACAACCCTAACATGGAAGATACCGCTAACATGGAAGATACCGAAGGAACGAAAAGGGATGATAAAAGCGTGGGTTTGGACTACCCCTCGCAAATCTGCACTTCGGGGGGGGGGGTCTTTATCAGACCTCACCTATGCATGTTCCCTGTCACCAGTTTTTGTTGAGGTACTCAAACGCGAGCTTGCGAGCCAACTGGCTCGCAAAGCTGCCACAGAAATACGTCAAACGAAACTGCTCACTTATGTGGATGTTGAGTCTGCTACGTATTACGATACCTTTTTTGTGCTCGACATTGCTAAAGCATGTTCCTTAGCTTCTCAAATTTCCGCGATACGAGTGGAGGCCGTCCCTGCGACTTTGCAACGTCAAATTCAATTGATTCCCTTGGTCACCCGAACCAATTCCAAGCAAGGGAACACCTTCAGACCATTCCTCACATGGATGTGTGGGTGGTTTCCATTCCAATGCCATTTGACACCAACCGCACAAAGGGGTCCGCCAGTCTGGGAAACATCCACATTCTCAGAAGCCAGCTATAGGAAACTCTGCAGGAAATTCGCCAAACCCCTGGTATCGCCAAAGAAACATCTCCCACTATAGTCCTCACTTCCTGCTGGCTGATTTGCCAAGACTCCCTGTTTGGCTTCAAGAGCTGCTTGAGATTGTCGTCGCCGCAAAGACTTTGCAGATTGGTTTCCTTTGGGTTCCCTGGAGGAAGATCCGCAAAGGGGTCCCTGACACCATCAAGGAATCCATTTGTCTTAAACCAAACCCAAACTCAGGGATCAGTAGCCTCAAGGCACCCTGAAAGAAAACGAGCAAGCCACATGTCTGTGTGACCGTCCTTTTGCTTGTTCCTCTTTTGCTCAACTTTGGGCAGCTTATTATCCACTCACTTTCTGCCTTCCTGGACTTCAAACCTTTGGTTTTGTGAAGACCATTTTAGTGCTAAACAAAAAGTTTGGGCCCTTTGTGGCACTCAGGAAGTGAGGCAAGCTTCCGTTTGCTTAATCATTTTTCCCCGTTGGTTTTAAAGGGAATCTATGATTATGACTACTCGCTTTTTTTTCCAGTGGACTAAAGCAAATGGAGGCAAGCAAACCGGGTGTGTCGCCAATGTTGGTACGCAGTCGAGGCTCTACTGCTTGGACAGCCGCTTCTTCCATCAAGGTTCAGGCGGGGCCAATGCCAGCCGAAGTGGTCAACACACATTTGCCATGCTCAAAACACCCCATTGCCTGGGGTTGGTAGGGATGCTTCTGGACCGGCTAATAGGAAAGTAGACAACCACAAGGGCTCCTGGGAAGAGAAACCTGGCTTGGAGACTCCATTATTTGGTTGCTTAATAGCCTATCAAGGAAATCAAAAGGGGCTCGATGACGCTTGTTTTCCAGGCCACTCCCACCCTCTCTTTTTTGACTGTCCGACTAACATAGCACTCTGGACTGGAGGCTCCTGTAAGACCACGTTCCTTGAAAGGGGACTGCGGGTTTCATTTCCTGCGCTAGGACAACAAAGATATGAAGCACCGTGTTTTCGGCAGAAGATGAGTGAAAGAGTATCGAGCAGATATTTCCTGGGCAATTATTTGAGTATGTTGGCATTCATTGTATCACTCTTTGGATTATCTTTTCTAAACTGCCCAAACATGACTTGTGTCCTCAATCTTATGTTCGCCCTCTGGGTTCCATCACGCACTGCTTGAAGGGCTTCCCATGGCAAACAATTTGGATGCACTTTTTGTGGATTTCACCCGGTCTTCTCCCTGTTGGTCCTGTTTCGTGATCTTGTAGTTTCTAATTATATCCCTTTGGTAGAATGTATGGCTGTTTTGCAGGACCGCGCCCCATCATATCTTCCATGGTAAGAGGAGAGGGAGGATGTTGAGATATGGGAGTTTGAGGTATGCAAGTTATATATCATGCATACAAGGCAAAGTTAGCAATAGAATAGAACAATGCTCCGCTAGGGGCATGTGTATATATGTTTCTATGTGTATATATATATATATCTTTTTTTGATAATTATATATTATAGGATATCACATGTGTATTCAGTGTGTACTGCCTTGATAGAAACATCCCCTCACTTCCATGTGCTTCCACAGCTTTGTGCGTGCGAGGCCAAAACCACCCCTGCGGAGATCGCAAAGTCGTCTCCGGGGATTGCATCAAGGTTGCGTTGCGCCCAGCCTCGTGTTTCTTCGTTTGGAGCACAGTGGAGCTTGGTGGCCTCTCTAGAGATCTTTTAGTCCCCCCTCTCCCCCCCCGGGATGTAGAAGAGCCACAATCAGAACCCGGGTATATGAAGGTTAGCAAGGGATGCTCCCAACATAAATAGCTGCGGCCGCCTTCTTAATTCTTCGCATGGTTCTGACTAGACCATTTTGATACCGGGTTTTGATTATGACTCAGAAGCTTATTGGGACCATGGTCCTTGGTTCCTAGGACATTTGTCCGGTTTTGGTCGTGTTAAACGTCGCCTTGTCAAGCCGGAAGGGGGAAATCTATTTGGAGCCGGGTCCCACGGATTGATCGCCCGGCTTTTATCTCTCAGGTCGCTTGGCCCGGACATCGGCTCGTTCGGGGTTGAGGTCCCGTCCGGTCCATCGGCGGGGGCCGGATGGTCCATCGATCCCACGAGTGCCATGGGGTGGGGGAAGCCAACAAAAAAGGATCGAGTTTCACAACTCAACGGGAGAAGCTACCCATGGTCATTTCGGGCCAGGAGTATTAATCAACCCCCGTTGGTTTTCTCTCGTGTAGACGAAGCGAACTCGCCAGCTACTGGCCTAAGCGAAAAAGGGGTAACCAATAGACCACCACCACCACGCACCGACAGCTGCCGGAAAAAGCGAAAAGAGCCATCCTATCGATCAATCATAATATAGAGGTATGCATCCTCTTGCCCGTGTGGGTGGCGGCTTGGGTGTTTAGATTAAGAGCGAGCCTGTGAAGATTCGTGGGCAGCAACAATCACCCGCGACAAAAAATGAGCAACTCGAACGTCGATATTTTTTCTTTCCCTGGTTTCCGATTTCCCCCAAGTGTCATCCCTTGTATCACGGAGCTTTTGATCAACCCATGCGAATGGATCGCTGAGAAACGGCGGCGCGGCCTGAGGTCCTTGACTGCAACCAGCACACCCTGGCCTTCGGGCGCCAAGCTCAGAGCGCGCAACGGGCGGAACCGTGGTCTCGGTTGAGATCCTTGGGTGGTTGGAATCCTTGGTAGTTGGTGGTTGGAATCCTTAGTAGTTGGTGGTTGGGATCCTTAGTAGTTGGTGGTTAGGATCCTTAGTTGGTGGTTGGAATCCTTAGTAGTTGGTGGTTGGGATTCTTAGTCGGTGGTTGGAATTCTTAGTTGGTGGTTGGAATCCTTAGTAGTTGGTGGTTGGGATTCTTAGTCGGTGGTTGGAATCCTTAGTAGTTGGTGGTTGGGATTCTTAGTCGGTGGTTGGAATCCTTAGTAGTCGGTGGTTGGAATCCTTAGTAGTTGGTGGTTGGGATTCTTAGTCGGTGGTTGGGATCCTTAGTAGTTGGTGGTTGGAATCCTTAGTAGTTGGTGGTTGGGATTCTTAGTCGGTGGTGGTTGGGATTCTTAGTCGGTGGTTGGAATCCTTAGGAGTTGGTGGTTGGGATTCTTAGTCGGTGGTTGGAATCCTTAGTAGTTGGTGGTTGGAATTCTTAGTAGTTGGTGGTTGGGATCCTTAGTAGTTGGTGGTTGCGATTCTTAGTCGGTGGTTGGAATCCTTAGTAGTTGGTGGTTGGAATCCTTAGTAGTCGGTGGTTGGGATTCTTAGTCGGTGGTTGGAATCCTTAGAAGTTGGTGGTTGGGATTCTTAGTCGGTGGTTGGAATCCTTAGTAGTTGGTGGTTGGAATCCTTCGTAGTTGGTGGTTGGAATTCTTAGTAGTTGGTGGTTGGGATCCTTTGTAGTTGGTGGTTGGAATCCTTAGTAGTTGGTGGTTGGGATTCTTAGTCGGTGGTCGGAATCCTTAGTAGTTGGTGGTTGGGATTCTTAGTCGGTGGTTGGGATTCTTAGTCGGTGGTTGGACTCCTTAGTAGTTGGTGGTTGGGATTCTTAGTCGGTGGTTGGAATCCTTAGTAGTTGGTGGTTGGGATCCTTAGTTGGTGGTTGGAATCCTTAGTAGTTGGTGGTTGGGATTCTTAGTCGGTGGTTGGAAGTAGTTGGTGGTTGGAATCCTTAGTAGTTGGTGGTTGGGATTCTTAGTCGGTGGTTGGAATCCTTAGTAGTTGGTGGTTGGGATCCTTAGTTGGTGGTTGGAATCCTTAGTAGTTGGTGGTTGGGATTCTTAGTCGGTGGTTGGAATCCTTAGTAGTTGGTGGTTGGGATTCTTAGTCGGTGGTTGGAATCCTTAGTTGGTGGTTGGGATTCTTAGTCGGTGGTTGGAATCCTTAGTAGTTGGTGGTTGGAATTCTTAGTAGTTGGTGGTTGAGATCCTTAGTAGTTGGTGGTTGCGATTCTTAGTCGGTGGTTGGACTCCTTAGTAGTTGGTGGTTGGAATCCTTAGTAGTCGGTGGTTGGGATTCTTAGTCGGTGGTTGGAATCCTTAGAAGTTGGTGGTTGGGATTCTTAGTCGGTGGTTGGAATCCTTAGTAGTTGGTGGTTGGAATCCTTCGTAGTTGGTGGTTGGAATTCTTAGTAGTTGGTGGTTGGGATCCTTTGTAGTTGGTGGTTGGAATCCTTAGTAGTTGGTGGTTGGGATTCTTAGTCGGTGGTCGGAATCCTTAGTAGTTGGTGGTTGGGATTCTTAGTCGGTGGTTGACTCCTTAGTAGTTGGTTGTTGGGATTCTTAGTCGGTGGTCGGAATCCTTAGTAGTTGGTGGTTGGGATTCTTAGTCGGTGGTTGGGATTCTTAGTCGGTGGTTGGGATTCTTAGTCGGTGGTTGGAATCCTTAGTAGTTGGTGGTTGGCATTCTTAGTCGGTGGTTGGAATCCTTAGTAGTTGGTGGTTGGTAGTTGGTGGTTGGGATTCTTAGTCGGTGGTTGGGATCCCTAGTAGTTGGTGGTTGGAATCCTTAGTAGTTGGTGGTTGGGATTCTTAGTCGGTGGTTGGGATCCTTAGTAGTTGGTGGTTGGAATCCTTAGTAGTTGGTGGTTGGGATTCTTAGTCGGTGGTTGGGATCCTTAGTAGTTGGTGGTTGGAATCCTTAGTAGTTGGTTGTTGGGATTCTTAGTCGGTGGTTGGGAACCTTAGTAGTTGGTGGTTGGATTCCTTAGTAGTTGGTGGTTGGGATTCTTAGTCGGTGGTTGGGATCCTTAGTAGTTGGTGGTTGGAATCCTTAGTTGGTGGTTGGGATTCTTAGTCGGTGGTTGCGATCCTTAGTCGGTGGTTGGAATCCTTAGTAGTTGGTGGTTGGGATTCTTAGTCGGTGGTTGGAATCCTTAGTAGTCGGTGGTTGGGATTCTTAGTCGGTGGTTGGGATCCTTAGTAGTTGGTGGTTGGAATCCTTAGTAGTTGGTGGTTGGGATTCTTAGTCGGTGGTTGGGATCCTTAGTAGTTGGTGGTTGGAATTCTTAGTAGTTGGTGGTTGGGATTCTTAGTCGGTGGTTGGGAACCTTAGTAGTTGGTGGTTGGATTCCTTAGTAGTTGGTGGTTGGGATTCTTAGTCGGTGGTTGGGATTCTTAGTCGGTGGTTGGAATCCTTAGTAGTTGGTGGTTGGAATTCTTAGTAGTTGGTGGTTGGAATCCTTCGTAGTAGGTGGTTGGGATTCTTAGTCGGTGGTTGGGATCCTTAGTAGTTGGTGGTTGGAATCCTTAGTAGTTGGTTGTTGGGATTCTTAGTCGGTGGTTGGGATCCTTAGTAGTTGGTGGTTGGGATCCTTAGTAGTTGGTGGTTGGGATCCTTAGTCGGCGGTTGGATGTGGTGGGGATCCTTAGATGGTTGGGATTGCTCAGGGTTTGAGAGCCATTCCCTTTGTGGAACCCAAAGTCGCAGAATTCAACGGAAGCCACCAGTATTTTTATTAACCTGTGTAGGGGGAGTCCAGTGACACCTGGTGGTGGTTGGGGATTTGAACCTCAGTTCCTTTGGAAGCCATCAGGGGAAGATGCCGGTTGACATGCAAACCAAAGCAAACCACCAACGCAGAATCTGAGAAGTTGAGTTTGTGTTGACTGGGAGGCAAGGATCGATGCTGACTTTTTTTTGAAGCGCTCAGTTGGCATGGACCTTTTCACCTTTGCATTGACCTTGGTCCATTTCAAGGCATGGCCCAGGTGTTAACCTTTCATGTCGTCTATCGGGAGAAGGGTTCTTGGCACTTGATGACACCAGGGATGCTGGACTTGACCTTTGACAACTGCGACTTATGAGAATTTGCTTGTTTCCGAGTTCCGAGGGCTTCTCCTGGTTAGCTCCTCAGACTTTTGTCATCCTTAACGAGTTGTTGTGGGAGTACACCGGGGGAACCATGTCTGATTGTCATGACGGGTCGAGAAAAAAAAAAAGGAGAAACACAAAACGCGACCTCACGCACAGGTGGACCCTTTCCAGGATCCGTTTCACGCGTTCCACAAAGGTCCCATGAAGAATTTTCTCAGTCTGCAATGGACGAAATGCCTCGATACAGGCCGGTGTTTTGGAGTCAAACCTCTTCCCATGTCACCCAAACTAGTAATGGTGGTTTTTAAAATTTAAGTGCCCTCTCTGGTATCTCCTTCAAAAGGTGGTGCCCTGGCCGCCTTCTTTTCCACCGCCCTTTGCACAAACCCATAGATCCTGATCGTATTAGTTCAGTGAAGTCAAGTTTCATCCTTCCAGAACCCAGCGAACCCCAATCAGCAGCATAGCACTAGCCAGCCATGTTCGCGTTCGTCAACTCCTGGAGACCTTTCAACATGGGGTGCCACAAAGGTATGAGCGCAGATCCCAGTCCAGCAGAAGAGCCAAGAAGCCTGCCTGAATTTGGGGGAGGCCCCCTGTATGAGGAAGACTGAGCTAAAAACATGGGTCCTCGAACAAAATTGGAGCCCCTACAGTTTGGATTCCTTTTTGCCATGCAAAAAGAGGTCCGAAGCCCATTTTGCGAACCCCCCCAAACGCACGAATGTTCCCTGTGTATGTGTTTTCCTTTCAACCAACCTGAAAAGAGTACCCTCACAAAGATCCAGAAGCCCCCCCCACCCCAAATAGAATGCCCGGGTTGAAAACACCCCCGTGTTTTGCCTTCCGGACACTCAGCGAACTGAAGGATCAACCAGGAGGAGCCCATCGTCCTCTTCCGGGACATGGAGCCCACCTGGTACGTGGCCGCCGTGGACCTCCGGGACTGCGGGGACAAGGCGACGCCATCGGCGCGAGGGGCGCGAGGGGCGCGAGGGGCGCGTGGTGTTTTTTGTTGCCGCAGGACGCGTTGTCTTGAGACGGAAAGTGGGCGGCTCGTCTTTTTTTTTGAGTTCGTAGTGCTGTTGTTTTTTGCGTTGTTTGGTGGTGGTGATGAATGCTGTTGAGCCATTTCGGGAGTCCCCTATTTTAAGACAAACCCACTTGTCACGTGTTTTCTTTAAAGAATTGTTTGCAAGGGCCATTGCAACGGTTGATTTGAAAGGAAACCAACAATAAATTTTTGGGCACCCCCCCGTTGGGCGTTTGTTTGGAGTTCCGGATATCCAACTGGGACACGTTTCCCTTGAAAACAAACTGCCCAAATTGGTTGCCTTTTTTTTGCTCCCCCATGGCCACTGGAGGTCTAGGTGTAATGTTTGCGCTTTTTTGTGGGATTTGTTTTGGGAGAAGTTGCGCAAATGGAATGCAATTGCGTGACCCGAATCATGGGGTGGCAGTAAGGGCAGTTTACGTTTCGGTCAAAATATGCTGTCGTCTATATGGTCCACTTGGAGGGACATGGTGGGACACATCAAACTTTCCACAAAAAGCAGGGTGACGAGCCCTAATTGCGCAATGTCCTTTAAGGCAAGCGCAACTTTTGACGCTCATGTGAACTTGTTTGGGCGTTTATTATGATGATGATGATTTTTTCTGTAGGGGACCAAAATGGTGGTTTCGCTTTGGTTTTCCTTTAAACCCGCTTCGAGCCCGCGCTGAGAGAAATTGGCAACTCCCACGGTTGTCTCAAAATTCGGGACCCCACAAAAACGGAGGTTTCGTTTTGGACAAAGCCCAAAAGTGGTACACCTGGAGCTTCCTCGCAAATAAAGGACACCCATCTGAATGCGCTCTTGAAGCGTTTCCATTGCGGGGATAAACTCAGGCTTCCGATTGATTTCTAGCACGACACCAACTAGCAACCCACCAAAGGTTTCCTTCTAGTGAAAAAATAAGCTATAATCGAACTCCAGGGAGTCAAGAAGGACCGCGGACGGAGATTTGGACATTGGCTTTCCTTTGGGCTTCCCTGACCTGAAAACCGTACCCTGAAAACTATCAAGCACCAAATATTGCTTAAACATGTAAAACAACCAAACATGTTATATATATATATATATTTATGTAAAAACAAAAAACAAAAACAACTTCATCTTCAAGCCCATTTCTAGAGGCCAAGTGGAAGAAAGCGCTCACACTCAAAACCCAAGTGGACCTCGAAGCACGTGGCTTCGCATCTCCGCGCCAAAGCCACTGCACACCGCCGACCCAAACGAGTCCGGGTCTGCCCCCCCGGCGCGACGGGTGCTCCGTTTGGCTTCCCTAAGTTCCGGCCAAAAAAGTTGGGCGACCAACTCAAACAAAGAGACACACCCAACTCAGAGGTGCATTTTGCCAAGGGATGTTGGGACTTTAGCTTTTTGCCAACTAATGGGTTTTCCATTAAAACACTAAAAGTTAAACTTTTAGCAGGGGAGAAGAAAGCAACCGAGAACTGGCCTTTTGGTTTTTGAGGGGCTCGCCCCTTTAAGTCTAGGTGACACTGAAATTGGAATCCTGGTGTCCACTACCTTCACTGTTGTTGGCATGTGTTTTTGTGCAGATGACTGCACAAAACAATGTGTTTTGCAAGCTCAGACCAAGGGTTGCAACGGATCACCCCAAGTGTTTGGCACCTCCACCACGACCAGACCGCACGATTTGGTCAGCTCAGGTCCGCATCCTGAGCTGCCGCGCTGAGTCGCCCGGGCCCCCAGAAACGCCCGGGCTTTGGGGATATGCGGTTTTGACGTACGGCTGTGAGTCAACAATAGGTACCCACAATGGAACCCTCGTAAATGGAAACATGGACTAAAACCTGCGGGTTTTCTGGTGGTTTTATTTTGACCCATACCCACATATCTACAAAACTGGGGTAGACTTAGGATACATTTTACCAGTTACTCAAAGTGAAGCAAACAATAAACTATACTCTATATCTGGGCCTAAGTCTAATCATGAAAAAAAAACACATCACTTCCTGCATTCATGGACTCTGGTCACTTTGTGGGTTCGGACGGTTTGAGGGGCAACCAGTTTGGACTTTCTTTGGCCAGTCCACTCGATCGGAAGTGAGTTTTGCGATGGAGGAAACACAGGCTCACCCTTCTCAGGTTCTCTGGGCGACTTCTCTTCTTGCTTGAGGTTTTGGAGTGATCCTTACGAATGACCCAGGTTGTTGGGCATCTGGGGATTCCCTGAAAGAAAACCACCAGGAATTTGTGTGCAGGGGTCATTCCCTCATTCCCTGCCTATCGCACCAGCAAGTATCGTCGCTGTTTGTACATTTGGTCTAGGGTTTGCTGAATGTTGCGGGAACCTTGTGAAGTATTTTGCTATTTAACTTTCATGGTTCCATGGCTTTTTTTGTGGGGTTGGGGGGGGAAGGGGGACGGCTGGGGCTGGGTGGGGGGGGGGCAGTATGTTATTTCCTTTTTCATGTTTTCCTTGGGTTCAAAGCAAAGGAAGGGGCGGATCGGCTCGACTGGGTTCCCGAAACCGAATTTCAAGGGGTACGCCTAAGAAACAGATCGTGCCCAGGGGCTATGTCTGGGTTCTGGGGCTCGAAAGAAATGCCACGAAGAAAAGAACCCCCCCCAGAAATGCGGCTTCTTTTTTTTTTACCTTCCCACTAACATGCACAAAGCACCTAGACCTGCACGAAAAGTTGCTTGTCAAAAGGAGGCTCTTGACCATTGGTGACGCGGAAGCTTTCTGAGGAAGCCTTCCACCGCCAGAGGAGCGCAGGCCGGACGGGGGGGGAAAGCTTGAGGAGGAGCAGGCAGATGAACCGTTTCTTGGGGAAGTGTTTTGGGGATCTCTTTGACATGAGGTTTCGTTTATTCACCAAATATTGACCAAACCAAGCATGTTCGTTTCTTTAAGGGTCCAAACTGAGGTGGCATTGAAATAAACGTGTGGGGCCTCCAGAATCCTCCAATCGTCACTTCGAGAGGCTACATCCCATAACATCCCATAGTGTTTACTGGATCAGCTTCGAATGGCGTCTGAGATGTTGGAATGCATGTGTGTTGCTTTTTTTGGGGAAACCCTTTTTGGCTGGGTTTAAAGGACAACCACGAGGAAAGCCGCCATGTTGGGGGGTCCAACCTTAAAGAAGACGAGCCACCCGGGTGTTTCATGAGAGTTGCTTGCTTTGCCGGGGGTTTCCCACGGTGCTTCGTAAAAGCAAAATAGGTTGTAGCTAAAGGGCGACGTGATCCGGGCGTGTTGTTTGAAAGGGAAACCAAAAGACCTACCGTCCTGCAGAGCCAAAGCCTATGTGCGAACTACCTTTTTGTGAGAGTTGCATGCTTTTGCCATCCGCTTAAGGGAGTTGTGCTCTCTACTTTCACCCATGGGCTCACGACTCCCATGGGCTCACCAGGCTTTGCCCCGCGAGGCCGGCGGAAGTGCTCGGAAGTGGTCGCAGGTCTGGGTACAAAAAACCGCCTTTGAGGAAGAGATGTGTTACGGAATTCCAGGGGGGACTTCCCTGACATACAACATTTAATATCTGCAGTGATCACCAGAACCTAAGAAGATATGTAGTCTTTGTGCACACCAGATTTGGGCCAATGCGAAGAAACGCTTTGGCAAGCCTCGTTTGAGAGTAAAGGGTGTTTCTCAAAATTAAGTTACCAGGGTTCGATTTTGGGCCGATTCCTATTTTGTGCTACACCCAAACTGCCCCCAAAATGCGCTCTGTTTGTGCGGAGAAGTGACATGTGTTCATGAATTCTGCTTGACGTGCCAGGATGTTGATCGTGAATGACATCCAGCTGGGTGTTGGGGCATTTAAACATTGCTGTGTAGAAAGGCCAATTCTAAATGACTTGTTCAGTGATATGATGTTGGATACGAGACAGGAATCCTGCATGCCCTTTGGGCGGAGGCCTTTCCCCCATTTGGCGGTTTTAAGCATTACCTTTTCGGGCCATGGCTAAGTTTCCGCTTAGACGGGCGATGCACCTGCCATCTCAAGTCATGTTTCGTTCTGGTGGGGTCATGTTTAAGGAGGAAATATGGTGACCCTGTGCCAAGCTGTCTCGACTCGCGAACTGGAGGTGCAGCGAAGCCCAGGCGGGGGCGAAGACGACGAGCGGGTTCCTCAAAAGGAAACCCGAGGGGCCGGCGGCGAAGATTTTCCGAGACAGCTGAGACTTCGCGGATTCTGGTTTGCCGAATTTAATTGTTTTTTGTTGTTTTTGTTTACCGGGACTTACACATTCAGGTTTGACTATTTTACGTTTTACATGTTGCTTTGAGTTGGGCACAAACGCTGCGGTAAGCAGGGGGAGGTCAACCTCATGCTTTGTCTCAAATTGCCCCCGGCAGTGTTTCATGTGCCAAGGTCAACACACACACACACACAGCACTGTAGGAATGGACCCTTTAGGACATAGTCACCATCATGATTTGTCGTTCGATGTTTTGCATGACGCACGTCTCACTCCCCAAGCTCGTGCTCCTGGTACGTTCTACCACTTTGGTGGCAAACCATCCGGGAAGGGAGACATGGAGCATTCGGCGCCAAGGATTTATGTCGGCACAAATGTGTAGTGGGGTGACAAAAAAGCTACCCACGGCAAAAAAAGAACAGGAAAGGCCCAAAGGGGGTGCAATAGATTTGGCTCTCGAGCACCATTTAATTCCGGCAATGTCAACTTTTCGACTTGGCGTGGTCTCGAGAAGACCACCTTAAAAGCAAAAGCTTCCAGGACGGCGCTTTGCCAAATGGCTTCTGGAACTTGAAAGAGGCCAAGCTGGCTGAGAGTCTAGTTTTTTTGGCAATCTGAAGGGAAGGCTGTGAACAAATGTACTGACCGGCTCCCCCGACTTGTGCAACTTAAGCCTGGCCATGCAAGCGAGATCAACTTTATCTCTTTTCTCAGGTCTATGTATTTTTAGGTCAGTTTGCAACTGACAACTAATCCCTTCAATCCCTTCCCACTAGTGCTAAGCCGCCGCCCCCCCCCCCCCTGAATACTATGTGGGTCCCCAGCGAAAAATCGGTTTTAGCATTAGGGGCTCGCTCGAAAGTCGCAACTTTGTAGTACAGCCATAGTAAAGAAAACGTACTCCCGGAGCTCCGGCTCGAAAGTGACAACTTTTTTGTAGTACTGCCGTAGTAAGGAAACGTACTCCCGGGTCTTCCCCGTAATAGGACTTGGTTTGGGCACGGGCAGGAAAATACCTACTTTAGAATTGGTTTAGTCGGGTATTCTAAAAGTAGCATTCCCGGATTTGAAATTTTCACAAGTCGATTTTAGTATTATGGCTACGTTTCGCATTGAGAAGGGATTACATGAGTTACATGAGTGGGATT